TCAATCTCATTTTTTGTCGAACCGTCAGGGCTCGACCAGGTCCACTTCCTGTGGGGCCGTTTCTGGAAGAAAGAGTTCATCATAAAGAGTCCCTCTTTCTCATATAAAGTCAGCCAGCTGCTGGCCCCTACGGTTCCGATGCCCTACCCCAAATTTCCCTAACTTCAGCTCACCGCCTTCTCTTGTGCCTAGTTTTGCGTTGAAGTCTCCCATCAACACCGTGTAGTGGGTTTTGGAGGAATGCATGGCTCTAGAAATATCCTCATACATTTCCTCCACCTACTCATCGGGATGTGCCGAGGTTGGACGCGACCCTCGTCGACACACTCCCAATCTTTACAACGTTGTTGATGAGAGACTTGTGGACGATAAATCCGACACCTCCTTGGGACAGATGGTCGCCCTCCCGGTGATAGAACAAGTTGCCGGACTCGAGGATTACCGTGTCCTCCCCCTCTCTTCGGACCTCAGATAATCCAATAATATGCCAGCGCAACTGTCTACCTCTTCTTCCAGCTCCAGTATCTTCTCGTCAGTCCTCAGGGTGCGTGCGTTATACGTTGCCAGATCGAGTCGTCGTAGGTGGCAACCGAACCTCTACCGGAGATTCTTAGCACCCCCTGCCCCGCCGTTACCATGGTCGCCACCGTAGCCAGGAATAGCGGGGCCGCTGGGGACTGGGGGCCGTTTATTTGGGCAACTATGGCGAATATCCCCCTGCCATATTTGCCACGCTTGGCGAGCGGGTTGGCAACCGCAGTTTTTTATTATGTTATTGTTGTTATTAGGAAGATGCTGCTGCCCATCTCCTTTGTGTCTGTCGCCTCTTACGACACCCACGGGAAGATATGGGGTAGTGAATATTCTCAACCGTCACTACACGGCTACGACTGTTACATCTGAAATAATATTATTATTTGATCAGGTGCATAATTCAATTATCTATAAAAAGAAAATATTATCATAACCATTATAATTCATATACTGTTTGTAAATATTTCACTGACAAAGATAACCAACTGATGGAGCATTAGTTCCATATTGTATGAAGACCACATTTCTATAGTATTAATTGGTACAATGGTAGAGCCACGCTGCAGCTATATTATTGTTGTAGCACAAATGGGTTGGTTCGACCAGGGAAGGACCACGCTCTCACAGAATACTAGCATAAAATAGCAGCTTAATGCTGCTGTGTTTCGTATGGTGAGTGTAGAGAACCGGAGACCCGTTGTACTAGAATTGAGGCATTCCATCTTAGTCCTCAGGGGTAACAATGCATCTGAATTTTTTTCATTCTTAATCGAGGTTAAATGTAGATGTGTATGGGCCACAGCATCCACTTAGCATCAGTCCACTGTGTGCTTGTTTGTCACCCTTATTTAATTTAAAAAAAATTGTACTTTTACTGTGTGAATTGCAATTTGTCCCTTTGCCTTGGTCATGTCTGCCTGTCCCTACTAAACAAACATCCTGAATCACAAAAACTCTGCAATCATATGCAAATGAAAGACCTAAGTCAGGTCAGATCAGGTCAGGTTAATATCTCTTTCAAACAATTAATGGTACTTTTAGTTATCTTATTTAGGAGTATAAAATCTGCATTTTTCTTTCAATCTTTTTCTTTTTTTTCATACATCTAGCCATGCTTTCTTTGCTTTAAGTTGTATTCATAACTTGCCTTTAATCATGGGTAAAAGCTGTAGGGAAATGTTTAAGTCTCCAAAATTTATTTAATGAGTTCAAGTGTGAAAATTACTAGTATTTTTGAATATATCGTATTTTGTAGTATATTATTTATTACAAATAAATTATTTTTTTTATTGCAGGGTTTTGGCAAGATGATATTGATCATGTGCATTCTTAGTGGTGTAAATATATTTGCTTGGTTGAACAAACCACAACCTAGTTGGTGGAGTTGGTGTCTGGAAAACAAATTATATGCATGCATGATGATGTTCTTTTTGGCCAACATGATTGAAGGACAACTAGTGTCTTCTGGTGCATTTGAAATATCTCTCAACGATATTCCTCTTTGGTCAAAATTAGAAACTGGAAGAATTCCACAACCACCTGAGTTATTCCAAATTATTGATAATACATTACAATTTTCTAAAATAGATATGCCAAATAATAACTTTGTTCAGTAATGTGTTAATATTATATTTAATAGTAACATAATATGGTTGATGAGACTTTTGGATTGTGACTAAGTTTCTCCTTTAACGTTAATCAAGGTCTTAAGTTCTAGTTAGATATATTTATAATGTTTAAAAGTTGCATCCAGATCTTTTTTCATTTTGATTTTCTTTTTTCATTTGCAAATATATATATATATATATATATATATTCAAGCAATTTTCCTTAGGTTGTTAATTAATTTCGATATTCACTATTCCACACTGACAAATTATCAGTGCAGCAGTTCTTTTACTTAGAAAAATTATCTAGTCAGGGGACAGTTAACGAAAACAGCATAAGAATTCATTCATTTTGTGAAATATTGTTAAATAAAGATATAGAAATATTATTATATTAATCTTGTCTTTCTTTCATCAAATTATGCTACAGTAATTCAAATGGAAATGAAATAAAAATATATGGGTACATATTTTATTTCTGCACCACAGTTATGCTATATAATTTGGGGTGTAGAGACCTCTACTCTTCTCGTAAAAACTAATTATCTTAACTATCTTAGTGCCGCCTATTACGTACATTTTTTTTACTGAGGATGTTAATTGAATGCACTACATACATACATGCATTACATATATTCACGATTAAGAATTTAAATGCAGATCTGTTGTAACCCCTGAATAATCACATGGAATACTTCTTTACGAGTAAACTAGGTCGCCAGTTTATGTAACTCACCACATAAAAACCAAAATAATGCTGCCATTTCATTCCTTCCTTCCTTGTCCTTCCCGGTAGAGCCGACACATATGGTGCAATCATAATACCGTCGCAGCGTAGCTTTACTACATGGCGCATCCCGTAATATAACGGATGAGGCGACTATATAGCGATATCATAATTATTATTATTGCCTATCACTGCTCATTTTTTTAAACTCCTCTGTAGTTCAACTGAATGTAAATCCTTAATAGCAGCTTAACGCTGCTCTGTTTCGTATACAGAGACTATTTTTACAGGAAACGAAGCATTGCATCTTAGTGACTATGCATCTGCATTTTGATTCGTAATTGAGGATAGATGTAGATGTCTATGGGCTGCATCACCCACTTACATTATATTATATTTTTTATCCAAACTTTTTTATCCAAAATAAATGCATTTGTATATGTAATCATACAAATTTTAGCCACCACAATTTAAAACGCCGACGCTCCGGGAAGTCTGTAGTTTGTGATCATATCCTAGAAAAGACGATATGTGAGGCAATTGAATTTAAAACATTATAATTTCAATAGAATCGGAAGTGGGGTACTACAATCAGCCTGGAATCCTGTAATTGATAAAATCAAAACTAAACCCAAGCATACCACTGCAAGACTTCAAGACACAGTAAGTTCATTCTGCGTAAATCGGACCAAAAGTAGTAATTATAAAAGCTAAGGTAATAAAAATAGGTATATATAGTGTAATAGCAGTACACAATCTCATAGGCCTCCTCGTTCATGTTAAGATTACAGACTGTAGCAGCGTTGAGACAAAAGTGACAACAATAAGTTTGCAGTGCAGCTAAGGGAAAATTATACAAACTTTTCTTTAAGGTCTGTATTCACTTTGATTAGTGCGAGTGCAGATGATTAGTAATTGCGGGTGATTAGTGCAGGTGTGTAGTATAAGTAGTGTCCAATTCTGTTTAGTGGCTGTGTTTAGTTAATTAAGTTGTTAGCCGTTCCGTTGACCAGCAAGTACTCTGTTTAACTTTCTAACCTCTTGCGAATATATAGATCTCATGTTTCTTGTTTTAGTATAAACTTCTTTACTTCCAAACCCCGGTTTGTTCATAGCTTATTTTATGCGTAGAAATGCCAGATCTCGGGCTCCTTTTTGCAGTTAAGGTATTTACTATTGTATAGAAATTCATTTTTTAGATGCTATTGCACTAATGTATAGGTTATGTCTTGGGTCCACTTTGCCATTTTTGCAACACAAACGAGCGCCCGACGCGAAACGCTAAGCATTGCTGTCCAGACGTGTTTAGTGGCAGACATGCTGCCAGTGAAGGAGAAAGGACGCACGGGAAGTGGATTACTCACAATCAACTTGCAAGAAAATAGAACACGCTTCTATTCACTTTACTACGTAGATTACTAATCACTTGCACTAATCAATCGCTGCCCACACGTGTTTACTCCTAATCACTAATCACCTACACTAATCGCCTGCACTAATCAAAGTGAATACAGGCCTTTGAATAAAATCACCTCATCTACATATCGTAGACTCTGTGTTTGATAGACGAGGCCAGGGGTAGGACAGTTCCATATATTAACAGATTTGACGTCATTTTTTCGAAATGCGACATCTGTTATCGCCATCCAAAATAATGAGTTACTTTATGTCACCGCAGATGGCGTTACGATCGACGCAAATATAATTTATGACTGAAAAATAATGTAAAAATATTAATTCCGTTACGTATCATTTTATTTAAATGCATAATTATATGTAAATATTTGTGTAGATTACAAGCTGCGTAATAATTACGATAGCAAGACTGTGAACGATTTCTAATGATTGTCAAATTCAAATAGTCACGTCATCACTCAAATATGGCGACTGCTCCTTGCGTTTGCGCGTGTTTGTAGTTTTCGTCCCATCTTTGTGCTTTTCTTCGTGAAATTAATCCGCCGATCCACGTTGAGTTGAGTCCTATCCTCCGTAGTGAAGTGTAAGAATTTTCCGAAGTTATAGTGTGAGTTGAGCTGTTCCTCCGTCATTCTAGTGCAATCGTTTTTTTGCGACCCGGACGCTTCGTTTGTGCTGTTTCTTTGCGATATAGACGCTTGTGATTTGTTTTTATCATGCCTAAACGGTGTGCATTGGGATGTTCAAACAGTAAGTATAATCATCATTATATCTCTGCCATCTTGCCTCCATAGAATTCCACAGTGCCTTGTCAACTTCAACTTACAACTTACATAAAATTACAGCCTATATACGTCCCACTGCTGGGCACAGGTACCCCCGCTTCTTAGATGGTTTTAGGGCAAGGAAGTGTTCGCCGTGTTACCCCGTTGCAGGTTAGCGAATTTCTCGTTTCTCCGAAATATTTTTTTCTTATTTCTCAGATATGCAGCTTTCCTCAGGATGTTTTCCTTCACCGCCGAGCATGTGGTAAATCAACACTTAAAATTGCAACTATGAATTTCATTGGTGCCAGCAGGGACCCAACCTGATTTGCTTGCATAATGTGAAGTTTACAGCGAGCGCTAACCATCTGAACCACCGTGGCTTACATTCTTGTCCTAAATGATAGATAAATAGAATAAGATTTACATTATAGATGGACCACTGCAGTTATCTGTGTTTGTATTTGTAGGTACTTATTAAAATTATACCTTTCCCTCTCCCGGTTGATGGCCATAAGCCATTAGAAATGTTTGACAGAAATAAGTATGAATATAGCCTTAACTTACAAACCAGTCTTAAATGCTCTCACATTTAGTTTAATACAGGATATATCTAATTTACAAAAGTATTCTATTGCAACCAACATATTAGTAAAAATTATAACACTGCATTACATGCACTAGGTACTTTAATTAATGCATTTCAAGGTAATTATACAAGCAAAGTGTATAATATTTTTCATTAATAGCTACATCAAAGAATAATGTGATAGCAACATTACAAAATAGTTATAGCAATATTAAATTTTTGTAAAATGGCATAAATAACAAAATCAATGAGGATTGGAGTAGCCATGGAATTACAATTCTGTAATAAAGAACTTGTATACTCATGTATTACAAACCAATTTTTGCATTCAGGAGATTTCTTAACTAAGTACACTTACATAATCTTTATTTTTAATCTGTGAGATTAGTTGAAATATTAATAGGGCAACATAAAAGGTGATACTGAAAGTTCTTAGAAAATCAAAAACTGAATAAACTAGCAAGTTATTAGTTTTATTATATCTTTCCAAAATGGTGTCTATTTACATCAATACATTGCTGCATCCAATGGAATCACCGAGAAAAGCACTTTGCTTACTTGCCCTTAGCGGTCTCTTCGACGACATTTTGAAATGCAGCCATTGCTTCCTCGGTGTCCATTAAACATTTTCTTCAAAGTTTTTCTTTTGTTTTCGGAAATAAATAAACATCGCAAAGTGCGAGGTCGGTGCTATAGGGAGGGTGACCCAGTAATTCCACGTCTGATGTTGCCAAGTAGTCGATTGTTTGCTTGGCGGTGTGAGACGAGTGCGTTTCGTTGTGAAGTAAGATCCTACTGTGAGGTTATTTCTCCCGAACATTTTCCAAGACAAGTAGCAAACAATTGTTAGTGAACCACTCTGCAGTAACTGTTTTACAATTCTCTGAAACAATTGTTGCATAATGACCTGTCCTTCCGAAGAACGAGGTCACCATCTTATTTCCCACGCTTCAACCTCTCTTCACTTTAATTGGCATTTCCTTGGAAGGAAAAACCAAGACAGCAGACTGTCTCTTAGTTTCAGGATCATAACAATAAATCCAGCTTTCGTCACCTGTAAGTATGTCAAACACAGCATTTGTGTAACCTCAGTTAAATCTTTAAACCATTTTACGACAATAATCAATATGATGGAGTTTTTGGGCCTCTGTCAAATAATGAGGTATGAATCTATAAATCATTAACAAATGACAAATTAATAAAATACATACACAATAATATTGGCAAATAGTTCAATTTTCAAAATTTGAACTTACTTTTTTATTATATAGTGTTTACAAGTGGCCAGTTCCAAAAACTTTCAGTGTCACCTTCATACAAACAAGATTAAAATTAAATGATCATTTATGTAAAATATTAAAGGCAATTTGAACCAATAACTTTAAAACCTAAGGAGTAGGTGTTATCATTGCCTTTCTAAGTGTAGCATTTCACTTTGTTACAAACTATAGATTAGTTGTAAGTCCTAAGCCATAGCACAGTTTTAGGTATATTAAAGATAAGTACTGGCACATTTAAATCCACATGCTTGAGCAAGAGTATTTTTAAAAACTAAATGCCTTAATCAAACTTTATTTTGCACGTTTAGAAAAGCTATTTACAAATATTATATGGTGGTATAACCTTTTTTGTAAGAGTCTGACTTGCACTTGTCTGTTTTTTTTAAATATTAGTAGGATCATTGGCTCTATTAGCAAAAATTGTTATGCATCATTATTCAGGAAAATTATTTTAGATCTTTAAACTTTTCAAGAAAAATATTAAAAGTGATCTTTCTTTTTTTTTCAGAGACTTCCTATCATCAATTTCCACATCCAGAAAAGAATCCTGACCGTTTCAAGGCTTGGGTTCATATAGCTGGTGGGAAGTTAGATAGTCCTGCTGATTATGAACTGTATAGAAAGAAGGTCATCTGTGATATCCATTTTACAGACAGGGATAGAAACCGTAATAACCGGTTGAATTTTCTAGCTGTGCCATCACTTCATCTTCCTGGTAAGATTTACATATAATACAAATAAGAGCATTTTAACTTATTACATATTAATTATTATACAATAGTGGTACTGGGCTTGAGTTGAAGTTAGCATTTTGCTAATATTGCATATTTAACTGAAATACTTATAATATTAGGCAAGAAAAATGGCCTAAATGATGGGAAATCATTTTGCCCATGTTTTTAACAAGTGCAAATACAGTAGTACCATGCGTTGTCCCATATTAAACCCTATATTAATTAGTATGGAGGCTCTATTGCTAGTATTGTTTTATTTTTATGCTTATTAGTAATTTTTCAACTTGTATTATATTTATTTTATAATGATAAGAAAACATATTTATGGTGGTTATTCTGTGTGGTGCAAAAATTAGATGTTTATATGTTTTTATCCCACTTCTAATTAAAAATTCTTTAACATTATAAGTTTTTATCAATTTTTTAAATAAATAACATTTTTCTTTATTTTTTAGGCAAGTCTGATGAAGTTGTTAGTTCAGAGAAAATTTTACTTGTACCTGAACCTGTGAATGAAGAAAGCAGCCTTGCTGCATTAAAACCGACACTAACAGGTACTTACATATTGATTCCAATTATCATAGGTAGCAATTAAAGAAAAGCAAAATAAAAACAAAGGATTAGTAGTCTAGATGCTATCAGCGTCTTCAAAAGGTCATTATCGTCAACCAATTATATAATTACTTGTTATGACAAATTAAATGCAACTGTATCATAATTAATTTTGGGCCTAACCTAATAAAATATACTCTAGCGGGAATGTTATAGTTATAGACCCTTTTTACTGGAAACGAGGCATTCCATCTTAGTCCTCACTGGTGACAACGCATCTGCATTTTGATTTGTAATCGAGGATAGATGTAGATGTCTATGGGCCACAGCAACCACTTACCATCAGGTGGACTGTGTGCTCGTTTGTCACCCTAGCCTATAAAAAAAAAAAAAAAAAAAAAAAAAAAAAAAAAAGTTATGGGCTCAATTGACAGTATTATTGGCCATTTAGATTCTAGTCTAAATTACAACTTCAATGATAAGTAAAACGACAACATTGAAAAGCTTGGTGTTAGAGCTTTGTGCGCGCTACACGACTGTAAAATGCCGAGCAGACCTGCATGGTGATTTATAACCCCATCTCCCTATGTATCTGTGCTCAGCATTAGACTTAAAACATATCTCTTATTTTTCAGGCAAGTCTAACGATGATGATACTTCAGAGAAAGTTTTACTAATACCTGAACCTGTGAATAAAGAAAACAGCCTTGCTACATTAAAATCAACACTAACAGGTACTTACATATTGATTGCAATTATTATCGTAGGCAGCAATTAAAGAAAAGCAAAATAGTTTTTTTTTAAGGGAATAGTCGTCTAGGTGCCATCAGCATCTTCAAAAGGTCCTTATCGCCCATCAGTTATATAGTTACTTGTTATAACAAATTAAATACAATTGTATCATTATAAAATTTTGGGCCTAACCTAATAAAATATACTCTAAATGTTATAGTTATTGGGCTCAATACAGTTAAATTCATCATCATTGAAAATGTAATTTAGACTAAATAGATAATTTTCAATAAAAAAACAACATTGAACTTGGTGCAGCGCTACATGACTATAAAATGTCGAGCCGATCTGCATGGTGTTTTATGACACCATCTTCCTATGTTTCTGTGCTCAGCATTAGACTTAAAACATATCTCTTATGTTTCAGGCAAGTCTGATGAAGTTGTTACTTCAGAGAAAGTTTTACTTGTACCTGAACCTGTGAATGAAGAAAGCAGCCTTGCTACATTAAAACTGACAACGACAGGTACTGACATATTAATTCCAAATATTTATTACATTCATGTTGTTGGTAAATTTATATACATAAAGTTGGACTAAATTAAATCTAAAAATAACACACTAACAAAATCAATATTTCTCATGAATTTTTCTTTCTTATTACAGATAACTCTGCCAGAATCAATTCAGAACACAATTATTGCCGACTGCAGAAGAAGGCGATACATAAAAACAATAGTAAGTTTTTTTAGATATTTAGGGGATTAGGAAACAGAGTGCACTTTTAAGAAAAGCACTATGGTGTTTTCCTAAAAAACATCCGAAATCCCCAATCCCGACTAAAAATCAAATGGATAGTAATTGGCCATAATTTTGTAAAAGCTAATGACATATAAATAAATACATACAGTGCACAGAAATAGTAATAATAAGACAATAGAAATGAATTAGCGCTCGATTACTTCCATAACCGATGTCGCCACATCTTACCGTATTATAAACATACGCACAATGCACAATGATATCTAATGTTTCACATTACATTGCTTGGTGAGTTTGTCAATGCAAAAAAAAGCAGCAATGTTAATTGTACAATACGAAAACTAATAAGTATGTACTAATGTGAGAGTTTACAAAGGTAAATATCATAGTAAAGTATTCGTCTAGATCTAAATTAGTTAAAACAATGAAAATTAGTAAACTATCAACTTACTGATGAAATGTTATGCCTTTATTAGTTGAATTACACATCCTTGATGAGTTTTTACAACTGATTATGCTGCAGTTCACCATTATAAATTTATAGTAACATAAATTCACGGACGACGTTCCCCGCGCAACTTAATCACAAAATGGTGAATGATGTTCGTCAACACATCGTAGCAGCGACAAGGTCACGCGTCTATGCGACTTCTTTTGTCTTATTACTTAATACGTGTATTACAACATTTTTAATACACACATACACTACACACAGTTCTAATCCTCTTCCCCTCTATGTGACAGCCCTATTGTTTTTTCTTGACATATTATCTACGTGTGTACAAAAATATCATATCTCTCAAACTTTTAGTCTTTCTGAGATAAAAATAGGCTCCTTCGGAAGGCAACAATATTGTCTATTGTTTCCATTGCCAAAAAATTTACTTTACGTAGTAGAGTCATGTTGCAGTTATATTAGAGTATAGTTGTAGCATGAATGGCTCAGCTCGACTGGGGAAGGACCATACTCTCACAGAATACCAGCGTAAAATAGTAACTGACTGCTGCTGTGTTTTGTGTGGTGAGCGTTGAGAACCGGATACCCTATTTACTGGTAATGAGACATTACATCTTAGTCCTCACAGCTAACAATGCGTCTGCATTTTGATTCGTAGTTGAGGATAGATGTAGATGTCTCTTGGCCACAACAACCACTTACCATCAGGTGGACTGTGTGCTCGTTTGTCTCCCTATCCTATTAAAAAAATGTGTTCACATATTCATTCACATATCCAAAAATTATGCAAATCAAATTTTTTACAGATAATTATCAGCAGCAGGAGTGGCCGTCATTCTGGTTGAACCAGCTTAAAACAACAAGAAGAAAAATTAAAGTTTTGCAATCAAACTTGATCAGATCACAAAAGAAAAACAAAACCTTTCAATCCAGAATAGCCAATGCTGAAAAAATGCCTACAGATATTTTATTTAAAAAACTGACGAACAAAATGACCGTAGCAGCAAAAATTTTCACAAAAATGCAGTACACACAGACGAGCAAGAGGCCTCATGGTCGCAGATTCTCTCTCGAAGAAAAAGTGCTCTCGCTTTCTTTATATAAAAAGAGTCCAAGAAGCTACCCTCTTTTGGCAAAATATTTCACATTGCCTTCAACTAAATCATTAAAAAGACTTTTGACCAAAATAGAAGTGAAGCCGGGCCTTAATAAATGCATATTTATGAAAATTAAAAATACCGTCAAGGAGCTATGTACAGAAGACCGCTTATGCAGCTTAATTTTCGATGAAATGTCAATATCCCCTCAAATCCATTATAACGCTGCTAAAGACCAGCTTAGAGGGTTCACATTTGATGGCAAAAAAAATTGCTGACCATGTATTGGTCTTCATGGTGAAGGGGTTAAAAAAGAAATTTAAGCAACCCATTGCGTATTATTTCACCAACTCAGTGAATAAACCTCAATTAAAAGAAATGTTACAAAAAGTTATTAAGTATGTATATAGTACTGGGTTAAAGGACATATGTACTGTCTGTGATCAAAGTACAGTCAATGTAAGTGTAATAAATGACTTGGTAGAAGATACAAGAAAAAAATATTTAAGAGAAGAAAAGGAATTTAGGTATGAAATCATTGAAATAGGAAAAACAAAAGTAATCCCTCTATTTGATGTTCCACATTTACTAAAAGGAGTCCGAAACAATTTACTCACGAAAGATTTAAAATACTATGATTTTGAAGAAAAGTGCGAAAAAATCATCAAATGGGATTACTATAAGCAAACTTATGAAGCTGATAAGTCGTATGGAGAGGTGAGGTGCCTACTAAAAGTCACAGATGAGCACATCTATGTCGATAAAATTAGAAAAATGAAAGTGAAAACAGCAGCCCAAATTTTCAGTCACACGGTAGCTGCGACTGCAGGACATCTGGTGGCAAGAGGAGACATTCCGGTAGAGTGCCAAAATGTGGTAAAATTTACAAAATTAATAGACAATCTTTTTGATTCTTTAAATTCTAACACATTTCATGTGTCTGATGGCAAAATATATAAAGGATGTGTTAGACAATCTAGTCCACATCATGATTTGTGGAAGAATGCCATAAAAGTTTTGAAAACTGTAATATTTATTAAAAAAATTAAGGACAAAAATAACAAAATCCGTTTGATTGAAACGAAAGCTATACCATCTATAAAAAACTTCATACGTACAATTAAAGGAATGCAACAATTATGGATATTGCTGTCCCAAACATATTCATTTAATGCTATGCTAACACGTAATTTCAACCAGGACCCACTAGAGAATTTCTTTGGGAATATCAGAAGTTATGGGGCGAGAAATACTGCACCAGACACGGTTGCGTTTGAAGGGGCCTTTAAGTCCCTTTTAATTAATAATTTTAACTCGCCCCATTCTCTGCATGCAAACTGCGAAAAAGACGACGATAGCTGCTTGCAGAATCTAGATTTTTTTGTAAGAGAAAATATCGCGTCAACTTCTGATATTCCTAGTCCCATTTATGAGGAAACACTACAATTTTCTGAAAGCATAGAAGACGAAATTGTAGTGCCTTTCATCAATTTAAATACCAGTATAAATGATGCTGGTCAGGGCAATTATGTGTGTGAGTGGGTCCTTGGGAAATGCATAAAAAATGTTTCAAAAAGCTGCAAAGTATGTAAAAAAAGATATGTATGGCAGACCTGAAAGCAAATCCAATGATTATATACGGGCAAAAGAATATAAAAAAGGTAAACATTCTTTAATATACCCATCTGAAGGAATGGAAAAATGTTTTGTCCAAATTCAAAATTTAGTGACAGACATACTAAAAAAAAGATGTTCCAAAAATGGGTTTAAAAAGTAAAATAAAAATGTTTACCGACATATTTGTTGACTTTCCATTTAGTTGTGAAAAACATCAAAAAATATTAGGAAATTATTTTGAAAACACAATTATTCATGTGCTTATATATAGTTGGTGCCGTTCAATAAACCGGATTTTGTCTGGTAAAATCAAATACCATGGTGAGGATGAAACTAAAGCAGCAGCCCAAGCTTATAATATTAAACACAAGGTAAATAAATAAATAATATTGTAAAATAAAAGTTGTTTTTTTTTGTTTATCCAATAACCTTTTGAAATTGATGCGTCCTTACTAATTGGCTTGTTTTTAATTTGATAAAGTTTTACTAAGATTTTGTTAAATAAAGTCAAGTAAAACTTTATCAACTTGAATACAAGTAAATAAGTAAGGATGAAGGAAAAGCTACTATTGCCTATATAGTACCTATAGCCAGCTATAGCTATAGATGTTAAGTTTATGGATGGCGATAATAGATGGCGCTATTTATCACATCAATTGACATTTGCGGTTTTCAATAAATTCCACGAGTGGGTTCTCTATGTACGATATATTACTTTCCTCTATGGACGAGGCTCTCACGACTGATTGATGACAGACAATACATTCAAAAATACCACAGATTAATGCAAGGGTGCTAGGGTTACGGCTCTGCCCGGGGTAGATACCTATAGCCAAATCTACTACGTAACGCTGGCGCTTTCTTGGAAAGGTCTATATCCAATATTGGGCTTAAAATAACGGGAGTAAAAAAATATTCTCTAAATAAATACACCATATTCTGTGCTAAAGCATTTTACTCAATAAAAAAAATACATCGATATTTAGATAATGGACGGCACGATTTACTAATCACATTACTATCATTAAACTTAAAATACATACGAAAGCTATATTTATTATACAAATACATATAATAATTTTCGTGGGGTTATTCCGTTGATCCACCCAAGGCTCGAAAACGCGTGTTCATCTCAGTCAAATCGAAAGTCTTATGTATTATTTTTCTCCCTCTGCTGTGTACAGTCATTTATAGAAACATGATAAAAACTGGCTAAGATACCGTAGATATTAGCTATTAAAATATATACATACTTCTAGTTTGAAAGATCAACGCTGAAATAAAAGGAATGCCTCACAGGATTATAGATTAATTGGAATCTCAGCATAAAACAATTTAAAATGAAGTTAAAGACAAACTTCCAATCGTAACGTTTTGGAATGCTTACAAAAAACGCCCAGTTCTTGTTTCATTTGCAGACACATCTGTGGTAGCAAAGAAATTTAAAAAATTACTACATTAAAAGTGACGAATTTATCCAGGTCTATCCTGGCAGGATATCAAATTACGTCTATTCAATAATGAAATTAGTGTTGGTAATTGCCTGGACATGTAGCAGAATTTATAAATTACGCAATCATATTATTTAAGTCGAAGTTTAATTTGATTTAAATGCAATACGTAATGTCTGGACTTTAATAGGCTCAAACAATGACGGTAACGGCAATACTTAATAAGTTCATTGATAAGGTTTTTTTTAAAGTGTTTGTTCAACACATAACAGTAGATACTTGAGATAAAAAGTCGGGAGAACAAATAAAAGTATATTCCGATTATTCACCCCGTCTGGGGTGGATAGATGAACATGTATTTCCGAGTATCCACCCTAGGGTGGATTCTTTAGGTTGTATAAACGGAATACTACGGCCATCTTCTTTGACATGTCAAAAGCTTTTGACTTCGTATCACACGATCAGCTTTTGTTCAAATTAGATCAAAACGGAATTAGAGGCCAAGCATATCACTGGATTAAGTCATTCATACAAAACAGGCATCAATGTGTTGAGGTGCTAAAACTTGACAATAGACATGTAAGTCAAAGTTATAGATCCAAATTTAGAAAAAATGCGTTTGGGGTACCTCAGGGTAGTGTACTAGGTCCACTTTTATTTTTGATATACTTAAACGACTTACCTGAAATTACTAAATATAGAAGTATTTTATTCGCAGATGACGTCGCAGTAATAGTCACAACAAATAAAAATATGTCACTAACAAAACATAATTTTGACATTAATCAAACAATATTTGACGTAACTAAATGGCTAAGTAATAATAATTTAACAATAAACATTCTTAAGTAAAACTCAATATATAAATTTCAATAATATAAATAATAATTTAATAAATATTAATTATAATGGACAAACTCTTTGTAGTGCAACTAATATGACATTCCTAGGTATAATTATTGACAAAGAATTAAAGTGGAAAGAACAAGTTTGTAAAATATGTAATAAAATAAACAGGTTCACATATGCGCTTTATAGACTAACAAAAGTGGCAACAAAACAAACTGCAATTATGACTTATTTTGCATATATTGAGTCGATTATACGCTACGGAGTTATAATTTGGGGCAACAGTGCAGAGATTAATAAAGTTTTTATTGCACAAAAGAAATGTGTTCGTGCCATTCATGGTGTGGGCCCAGATGTTTCATGTCGACCTCTATTTAAGACACTGGGAATCTTACCCGTGCCTTGTTTATATATATTAGAAGTTGCTAAATTTGTAAAACAACACGGGAAAAGTTTTTATAAACTTAACAAAGAAGTGGTATCCATGAACACGAGATACCCAGATCGGATAGTAATTAGCGAAATACCGAAAAGTAAACGCTTTAGTAAAAATTGTTACTGGATGGGTAAAACAATATATAATAAAATACCAAACATAATAAAAGATCTTCCTATAAAAACATTTCAAAAAAAATTATACCAGTGGCTTCTTCAAAAAACATTTTACTCCGTAAACGAGCTTTTAAATTACTGATGAAAACTTTTATAGGACTATAGCTCAAAATTGACATTTTTTTTTTTTGTTATTAACTGACAAGGTATATAATATTGTTTAATTTAATTTACTTTATTTGTTAATTATAATTTTTTTTTGTACTTTTGATATCTTTAGAATATAATTGGATGGATTGTTTGTTGTTGCTAATTTAATAATGATTGATTTTGATGTGTTAATTTTGTATAAATATAATTTCTAAGAATAAATAAATTTGCATGTCTCCAGTAGAGACTTAGTGTGTATGCATAGTATTTAATAGTATATCATGTAACATACATACTAAGTAGCAAATAAATAAATAAATAACACTTCGTGACATATCTTACCTTTCGTTACATAGAAAATGAAATCTAAGTTAGAATAATTTCACATTTCAGTAAAGTACTAGTCGCACAAGATAAGAATAGGAATGGGCTTATTTTATTAATATTTTCACCACATAGACACGGGATATGAGGTACTGGATTCTATAACGTCGACACGCCATTATACAAATTTTAAAACAACTTAAAATTACTTACATTGTTATACCTTATAATTATTTACAATTTCAACTTTGATTTACCTACCGTGTGATCGGCGGTGAAAGAAAACTTCCTGAGGAACTTGCATGATTGCGTAATGAAAAGAAAAGTTTCAAAGTTCGCTAACACGCATTTAAAGTAAACTAAAACAGGGGTTTGCATTGAACTTGTTAATAATCCTTTATTTTATTATTTTAGTTTGATTTTTCTGCGACGTAACAATACTATTATTTACCTTTACGTCGAATTTCGGTCACAGCGGCCAGTCTCAAGGGAGAGCGTTTAAGGTAATAGGTACCTTGAAAATTTTATGGTTTTACTATATCACATATTTCTTTAACTTTTATATATTACGAAACAAATTTTTGGTATATGATTTTTAACTATATGAGACCTTGGATAGCATAAAAGGAAAACACGCTAACATATAATTTTCTTATTAGAAAACAATTGTATAGGCTCTAAATAGTTACATATCTCTATGCCACCACAATATTTTTACGAATAAATTAATGGAATTATTTTAAAGCATAGTAAATATATCCAAGTTCACATATAAACCATTTTTAAATACATAACAAAGTTTAGTTAAAAAAATTTTTGGCGCTTACTTAGTTAATTTCCGAGCGCGTGGTAGGAATAGCTATCTCATAATTTGCGTACATGAAGTATTTGCATGACTTACATTTTGACACTTCCTCTGTCATTCGTGAGCTTCATCGACAAAGGGCTAAAACCACGTCCCCAAAATTACGATTAATTTTCAGTATAGTACCCATCCTCTTAACTAACACGTCCATGGTAAAAGGAAAACTTCGAGAGGAAAGTTTTGTCAAAGAAAAGTTGCAAAAGAAACTATAAAGTTTAATTACAGAAGAGTAACACAATTAGGTACATAAAAAATTAAGTTGAATTATTATCGGAACAGCCGGCCTATTCCCGACAATCGAATTATGAATGAATCCAATTTTATTCGAACTCATTTAAAATGCAGGAATAGGCATAGGGCTAGGGTGTGTCGTCTAAACATATTAGATATTATGTCATGCGTGTCGTCAACGTATTAGAATGAAAAATTAAAACTTTTTCATAGTTTGAAATTAAACTAATTTTACCTTGTAATATATTATGCTTACTTGGGTTATTGGAATTTTATGGTTGTACCATTTATTTAGCTATGGTAATAAGCTACTTTAAGTAATTAAAGTTATCACATGAATGATTATCTGAAGAACCACCGATGATGAATTTCGGTAACTCAATTTTTGTTTCACAGTATAAAGACATCTTATCACAATCAATAGGATAATTAACTAGAACACTAAACTAATTTCACACATTTTATATGGGTCAGCTCCACTGATCTATATATACAAGTGCGCGTCAGCGCCCATCATCGTGGTTAGTGCAAAGCACTTAAAACATCGGAAATTACTAACAAGTTGAAATTAAACGTGATAAAATCAGTAAAATTATTTTTATTGAAGTAACGTAGGAGATACCGTGTAATGAATAACCCGCTAGCAAAGACTAAGTATACCACTAGACGGGCATTACGGTATTAATAAATTGCGCACTAAGTTACGGTAAATTCTGCGTAGCTTCTTTAGTCGACTGCGAGGTGCGAGCGGGCGAGAAGACTAGTTCTTTATTTTGTAATCCGCGAACGTTGTTTTCGACGATCTAACAGTTTTTTTTAATGTGGCTAAGAAAACGCTGTCATTATTTATGTGCAAAATGCTCAACACGTGATTTGAAGTTAACTTCAGATATGTTTGTAACTTTATTTCGTATTTGCCTAAAAAAGTAACTGTCGTAAATAAAAATACAACTGCGTAGCATATTTACCGTGGCAGCTGCATGCCCGCGCCTCACCCGCGCGATCCACAGCTGTGACACAGTTTTGGTTCTGAATTGTCAGTTTAGTAGTATACATAGGAGTGTTAGCAGGTTTGGGGGTTGTTCAAGTAAGGGGCGCGTGGCACATGGGGCAGGAGTGGCGCAGCACGAGCTCGTGGCGCAGCGCGCGCGCGCCGCACGTGGCGCACTCCCACGCCGCGCCCGCTGCACCCAGTGCGCGCCCAGACACCGCGCACCCCCACACCGGCTCGCCGCACGAGCACCTCGTACTCCTACACGCCCGTCTCATATACACTCTGTTGTACCTTCAAACTCCACTGATAAACGTTAGCCTCACCCAAAGACTGCCTCATAGGGGAGATATTTAACTGCTTCGTTGGTCTAGTAGTAAGCGCGACTGGCCAAAATCGGTTATAGTGTTCATGATCGCAGTCTCGGAGTCAAAAAATTACAACTTACGTGGTAGAGCCATGCTGCAGCAACATTATAGTTGTGGCACAAATGGGTCGGCTCGACCGAGGAGGTTACACATTCGCACAGAATACTAGTCTAAATGGCAGCTCAATGATGCTGTGTTTCGTATAGTGAGTGTATAGAACGAACCCGAGATCCTCTTTACTGGAAACGAGGCATTTCATCTGAATCCTCATGGGTAGCAACGCATCTGCATTTTGATTGTTAATCGAAGGTAGATGTAGATGTTAATGGGCCACAGAATCCACTTTCTATCAGATGGATTGTGAGCTCATTTGTCACCCTTATTTTATAAAAAATCAAAAGCTTGCCATGTTTCATCCCCGTGCGCCCCATCGCGCCCGACCTCTCTCCGGTCGTATCGCATTGCCGTCCCATCGGACTGAGAGAATAGAGTGAACCTGTGCTTGCGCATACACTTAGGAACTATAATCCTGTCCTGCGCTGATGGCTTGACTCCGTTGAGGCTGGCTGCCGTGATGAAATTAGGCCTGGAGGACATTATTGTTTGCCATAGTTGCCACGTTCAGGAGGCGACTTGGCAACTGCAGTTTTTTTATTTAATTAAAAGAAAGCGCTGCTGCCCATCTCTCGGTTTGTTCCCTATGTCCAATGATCTTATATGTAAAAGAAGTAGATAGGTTATACGCGCACCACGAGTGGCACGCCAAAACTATGCTAATTAGCAAACCTTAGCTCAGTCGTCGCTCTATCGTCGCGTCATTGACAACAACGTTAAAAATAATTTGTGTTTTGTTTTTGGACCGAAAATGCCGTCGTGTGTGATGAGGTTCTGTACAAACTACACAAGCAAGGTTTCCAAAAGTCAAGGAATTACATTTCATTCGTAAGTATTACTATTTCCTTAATTTATTTCGTATTTACAAATTAAATGTATTAAATTTCTGACAACGTATTTTAAATATTTTGTTGAAAAAACCGAGAGGGATAGAAATATCCCAAATGAGTAAGTTTGAAAGAGAAGTGATATTGTTTTCGATCAAAGAATATAAAATAAACAGATAGGTCTCTTCTGAGTATCGTCAATTCAAATAGTGTGCATATTTCTTGTTTTAGGAAAGGGTAAATTAACTTTCATTATTAATTATAAATTCAATTCATTTGATCTGTGGCGTAATAAGATGGTATATATACGTACGTATATGACTTTTTCTAGATTTTCATTAAATGAGCTAAGGTGCATTCGGTGGATGGATATTGTGGATATATTCCAATTTATTATCATTAAAATAAAACATAGGAAGAGATATTTAACAAGATTGTAAATTATTTAATTAAAATAAGAAACTTATCGTTAATTTGTAATTTAAAGGCTATTTCATTTTAATTTTATTTTTATTTTTTAATATCAACTCGTATATACATAATTTTTTATTATCAACTCGACTCTTAATTTATTTTAATTATTTTACATATTGTGATATAACTACTGGAGGCTTAAATCGGCATTTGCCGAAATGACATATCTGTTTATTTTTCTTTGGCCTTCCTAGCTCCCATGTGTCCCATCTCTTTTTCGCTCGAAGTATTAAGCACGTATCCGTTCTTCTCCCACATACAACATTGGTTCTGTGCGAGACGACGTAGTGTAAAATACAACCGTCTCTTTTTCATCCATCCTTCTTCCACATTTACGCTCTTTTGTGTGACATTACCTATAATACCATCTATGCCTTTTATATGTGTGTGTGTTGTACGGCGGTGACGCAGCGTACCATTTGTAAACATCGAATATGATATAGGTAACCTATCCACCTCTTTTACATATAAGATCATTGCCTATGTCCCTATGCCACGGGACATTGTAGGGGATATTTTTACACAGCCACTGCTACACGGTTAATGTTATTGTGGCTTATCATACAAGAAATTGAAATTGTCTTCGCTAGTATCCATAAAATACTTAGTAACAATTATTATATACAGAGTTATTTTGCAATTGCAATATATGTCCAGATTTGGAGAAAAGGTTCAGAATAAGCAATATAGGCGAATGGTGAAGAAAAATTAATTAAAAAATATCTCTAACATTCTGAACTTTTTATCTTTTATGTTTAATGCTGGTAATGTGTATATTGATGTCTGCAGTGGTATGCTTGGGTTTGGATTTGATTTTATTAATTATAGGATCCCAAGCAGATGGTAGCACCTTCTCTATTGTAACTAGGATGTTTTTTTAATATTAACCGCCTCGCGAATCATCCTTGGTAGGATTCGGTGTTCTTTTATAAGCATTTGAGGTCTATCAAATTTAATTTAATGGCGGGGACGACCTTAAATATGTTCACAGACTGCAGACATTCCGAAGCGTCGATATAGTGTTCGCGTAAATATAAGATATCAAAAGTAGAAGCCTTATTTACACGTATTTTCAAAAACTACAATAACGGCAAATCCTTATTTATATATTTTAACTTAATATATAAAATTTGGATACTCCTTGAAAAAAAAAACTCTGTATAATATTAAACATATTTAAAATTATACTCAAATAATAGTAAACTTGTTCTTAAATTACTTTTAAAGTAATTGATAAGAACATTGATTGCCATGTGGTTATGGTGTAAGATAAGTCTTTCACCCTATTTCGTCCCTAAGTGTTTGTTGTAAGTCTACTGTAGAAAATACCAGAAAGATCTTATGGCTTCCGGGCGATGGTGGTATAACCACATCATTTATGCCAGATGTGAAATACCTACACCGGTGACGGGGAGCGATGCCAAAGGTGCGAGACGCGAAGAAAATCCTACCTACAATCGAAGAGATCCATGTTCGACAGTGAAACTTTTACGGGCTGATGAAATCATCGTTCATTTCATATTGTACGAGCAGTTTCTAAAGAAATTGAACTTACCAGTCAGGTATGTTTGCTTGACAATTTGGACAGTCAATTTTGTTGCCTTTTGCGTCTTTCGGTTTACATCGCGTAAATATTTCTATTGCGAGATTTTCAAATGTTTCGGGCTGAAAACATATTATTAGTTAGTCACTGGTAATACCTACAAGCAAGCAAGTTCAGCAAGTATTATTAATTAAGGATTTCTTCTGGCGTCATGAAATTTAAGATTATTTTTCTGCTATTAAAATCGAACCAAGGACAAAAATCTATAACGCCATTAATATGGCTAAAATATTAAAAAAGAAAGCTTCAGAAAAACTATAAAACCGTGAGCCCACATTAACAAAACACTATATTTATATAATATTAAAAATTGCACAATTTTTCTTTTTGGACTTAAGAGCTTACTTATATTTTGTAGTATAATATGTTGTAAACTTCATCTTAAAGATCGCTCTGTACTAGTTCATTTCGGTCAATAAACTAGTTCGTTCTGTTAGGTCTATTCGGTCATTAGTACCACTAAGCAGTTTAAACTGTATCTGTCGGTTAAGGATAGTTGTTAACACTTTGAACGCCAACGACGCTTACAAGCGACAAACATAATTAGCCGCTAGACTGCCAACGACGAGCTTATGCGACAAATAGATACGCTACTTTATAATCCAATACCTTTAAACGAGCAATTCTTGTATATATATACATATAATCGGAATCTCTGAAACGGCTCCAACGATTTTCATGAAATTTAGTACGCAGGGGCTTTTAGGGGCAATAAATCGATCTAGCTAGGACTCATTTTTAGGAAATTTCGTTTTATCCATGTTTTTAGACAATGAAAAACTGCTACAATATCATTAGAATACAAAAGTAAATTTTGCCGGTGCCTAAAAGGTTATAATAGTTCAAATGATATATCGAGCGGTGCTGAAGTCATAGAACGCCGGTTCGTGTCCAAACTTCTCCGGTCTGATTCTTTTTTCCTTCTTTTGTGAGAAAATATATTATTTGTAGCCCATTTTTTAGTATATTTTTTTAAAACACGAAAAATATTGATCGAGAAAATCGAAAAAATGTATTCATATTCCATCAGTTTGTAATTTGTATCTAAATATAATTTACAAAAAATTTCCAAAAAAAAAAAAATATCGAGCAAAGCTCGGTCATCCAGGTACTCTTATGTTATAGAAAATAGGTGAGATTTTTTTATTTTGACATCTAGGTATGTCACTTAATTAAATTGTACCAAAGTTAAGCTTGATCTTGGTAGTATTCATTCCAAATTTGAACTTGTTTTAGGCGAAAATAAGACCTAAAAATACAGGTTCACCAGACGCCATTGTCGCTTTAAAGCGACACTAGTGATGGGGTAATTTAATCTTCTACAATTTATAATATGTGCTAACTGAACAATGTTTTACATTGATTAAAACAACAAACAATGCGTCCATTGAGGAATTAGTGTTACTTTATATTATTACCATTAATCAGTGGCGAAGCTTCCATTAAAGCCGAAAAGCCGGGCTTGCCTTATTAAAACTGAATCAATCAATAATATCAACTAATAAAATAACTCATAAACTATTTCAAATTATTTCAATTTTCCCGCGCACTCCACTGTTCGACACATGTCGACCGATGACCTCGTATTGCCTTAGCGATACGTTTATACAAAGATACTCTGTGGCGATACTGCTGCTGTCATAAAGTGAGTTTTAATAGAGCGATTACTTGTCTCCCTCGCTCGCGTGGGCTTTTTACGGGGCTTTCGAGAAGACGATCGCTCTCTTTCTAACCTATGGCAAAATATTCTATAATGAAATATAACTACGAAATGTTTATATAGCAATTACTATTGAGCCAACAAGCCTCGCTTTGCTATGAAGTTGTTTAGGAGTGCTGGAGTGCGTTAGCGACTAGCGAAGTGGTTGCGGGCCCCTCGTATGCAAGTTCACTTCACATTTCAATGTTTGTTTGTTTTTGTTGTGTTTGTTAAAAATTTATGCTTTTTCGAAGATTTTCAGTGAAAATGGGAGGATAATAGTGTTCATTGTGATGGAATATAAGTGTGTTGAAGTGCTAATTGGCGAGGAAAAGGTAAAAATCTTTAAAAATGTAATTTAATATTCAATTAACATTTCTTCATACTTTAAATATAGGTACAGGACTCTAGTATTAAAGTTTAATTAAGTTAGGCGTATTTAAAGGTTTAATAACTCAATATTTATATTAATAGTGATGTATGAGTTTAAAAATATCATTTTGTACGGTTTATTATGAATTGAAAATGTGATACCATAAAGAAATTGTTTATGCACATGCATTTGCGCCTGTGAAGTGTAAGTTTTTAAAACGTGGGTCTAAAATTATGGATATGACTAAAATGTGATTATTTTATATATGTCCTAATCTGTTGTTCAAACCATGTGTAATTTACTGATACCCATTAATTCTATCAGTAAATTCTAGTACCGTAATTTTGGATCATAATTAATTCGATGGAAGTAAAGTAGAAACAGACATCTACAAAATCGCGATTTTACAGGAGAGCAGATATAGTAAAAAATTGTGGTTATTTTGAGAGTTATGGACAGATTAACATGAAATTTTTTATGATGCATTAAAGTAACATTCTTTATGAATTACGTTATGTAACAAGTTTTATTGCTATGTCGCTGTTTTAATGAAATAATTTAGATGTCTATTTTTACTCTAAAAAAACTGACGTAGAAGAAGATATTGCCTGATATGTTGTAATAAAAAAGCGTCCATTTTATTTAACCCATTACGGCATGAATTATTAAAGAGATGGAATGCAAATTCTTTTTTTACGAAATAGTGATTAGTTAGGCTTATATAATGAGATCAAATTGAAATAAAAAAATTATAAATTAGAAGTTATTACTTGAAGTCATTCTTCCAGGCTAGGCTTCGCATATAGTCTAGTCATCTAATGTGAATCCATATCTGGTTTCATATCTGTTTAAGAAAAATATGAATTATATTTGGTGGAACTCCTTAAGACAATTGCGTTTGCCGTTAAACATAAATAAATATTACAATTTTCACATTTAGTGAAAGAACGATATTTTGTACAATACTGAATTTTATCTGTCAGGTATTTTTCTCTCAAATAGAAAAATAACTAATTCTACAACTGACGTGCTGAATTCAAAGGAAGCTCCTGATGTTTTTCGAGGGTTTTTGCAGGTACTGAAGAATCAGGCAAGTGGATAGGAATGCCGCCCGGGCTTGGTGTCGATGTTCCAAGAACACTAAATGGACAACCACGTTTTTTTTTGTATTGTAGCTTTGTTTGCTTTACGCAAGTGTTCGGAAACTGCAAGTTTAAAATCAAATAAAGGCATAAGTATATTATTTGAAGATCATGGTGGCAATAAAGTTTTCTATCAATCTTCTGTTGGTTTGTTTATGTTATCCTGAATTGACTTTAGGTTAGATTACTCAGTAATAAAATCCATAATTTCAGAAGTGAATAGAAAATGAAAGAACTCTGCGGGTGTCAGCTGCATTATCTCCGCTAATTCTGAATTACATTTGAATTTAAAGCCATCCCCATTCAGATTTCCTTTTTCCAAATAACTTGCTCCCTTTTAGCATCTTTCCCTTTAGCTTTAGATGTATGTGCAGTCTATAACAGAAATCAGAATCCAGGTCAGGAATAACAATATTTTTTTTGAGGTTGGCAAATAGAGTTAGGTTCAAAATCATAGTCATTGTTAGAAGAAATATCATCATCGCTCAAGTTGCCATCACCAGCAATAATATTAACATGCTTGGATTTTTCATAAAAGCGCAAATGACCCATTTCTGAAATAAGCAAACAATAATCTTGAACGCATACGAAGCCGTTTTTACAGTAACGCATGGGAAGCTAAATATGGCAGATTGAAAAAAAAACAAATAAGAATGCTATAAAAGCTAGGCGTTGAAATAAACCACCAAGAGAGTATAAAGCATATAGTTTTATTTTGTTAATACGTTTTACTTACCATTTAGTATTTTATTTTGAATCTCAAAACTTGCACTTATTTTTTTGACACCGGCCGACCACACGCGTTAGAAATAACCTCAAATATAGTTGAAAAATGTCGATGCACATTAATAAATGATTTACATTCGAAATAATGATAAATATGCTCTTTCTAATTTAAGGTATTATTAAAGATCAAGCTTTTCATTATGCTAAAAAGAATCATAAACTTTTGATACCATATATGGCTTGGTATAGGTACAGTAAATATTCCACAGGTTTTGGTAAGCACACACCCAATCGATAATAATCTTATCAGTAATTTAATTTTAAATATCTCTGAGTATGTATTTTTAAATTTAAATTTTCCCTTTTTCTGAATTTTTATTAACTTTTCTAAAATATTTCCACACATCACTTTGTCAGCAATTAAAGACAAAATGAGTGATAGGTAGACTTTACTTAAACAACATAAATAGACAAATGAAACACATTTAAATCCAAATATTTTGCGTTATGATTCCATTATATATATTATTCATTCATCAAAATTACGAGATATTGCTACTAAAAAGTATAACATGTATTTACCTAGTCACACATGCATTATTCAAACTATAATAGGGTTTCCCCCAAAACCCTCACTCCATCGAGAGGGACGACACTATACATCGAAAAAGGAAGTACTATCTACTGACTTTTATCTGACAGTTTAGTGAAGAGACAAAAGACTTCTAGTAACTAAGAAAGTATCGATTCTTAGTAAAATACTCTAATAAAAGTATCGAGAACAAAAATACTAGGTATCGAACTAAAAGAATCGATACTACTCAGGTATCGATACTTTTGCAGATCCCTAATCCTTCATTCGCGCTATCGCCGTCGTCGCTTTTTGACGTCAATAGTGACGTGTTGAATTCATTTTCCCGAAAACATTATCCAATTTTATTTATTTATTTATTTATTTAACACCAACAAGACATACACTAACAAAAGCATAATATTTTTGCAAAAAATCATAAAAACTAAGTGTAGACTTAATTATAGGTGTTACACACATTTCATTACAAAAAAATAGACACAAGTAAAACATATGCAGTGAATTAAATTGAATACAAAAATTAAGAGATCAATAAATATATCAGAATTTAGTGTTATATAATTAATTAAATTAAATCATGCATATTCCACTATTGTTATTAACATTAGAAATTTTATGAACGTTATGAGTTTATGAGAGTTTATGAGATTCTATTAACGAATTATGAGTGAATATTACACGTATTATACAGATCTGTAATAGTTTGCTTTTGTAAAACAACAGCTTGCTATAAATGTTTTTTTATTCTATTACCACTTTAATAAAATAGCATCGTTTTCTTTGAAACCGTAAGCCATTGTCGTTTTTAGGCGACAAGTAGTGACGTCAATTTTATTTTAGGGATGCACTTTGTTCGATAAAAACTTGTTTCAATGGAGTTTAAATAGAGAAACTGGTTTGTTTATTTGATTATTTCGTTTATGTTAATCCATTAATGATACAAAATTTGGAAGAAAAAATTGAGAAATTGATTACAGTAGCAGTGATAAAGATTTATCGATATTAGTAATACCCCATCACTAGCATTTTGTAGGTATTTAATAGTAAATAAATGGCTTGGCGTAGAGAGCATACTTCCGATGCACTGCGCTTGGCGTTCAAAGGGTTAAATAAATTAAGGTTTAAATATCCTTAATCAGTGTTGATTTGTTAATATTATAGTTTTACTTACTAATTATATATTTAATAGATTTAGTAGAATAATTTCTAAATAGGCATTTTTTTGGCATGGAAGAGTTCATAAAAAAGCGGCCTTTCAGTCACACTCACCTCTAGAGCTTCTAATTTTATAAATGCTTTTGAACACATCTCAAAAGCTCTCACTTGTAGCGCTATAAATGCAATAACGCACCAAGCCTGAAAGCATGAAAATTATGAAGCTACATTATTTTTATATTCTAAAAAGACAAGTCCTTATTTAAATATTCTAAACGTTAAACAAAAGTAAATACAGACCTCAAAAAAATAATAATATCGATCTTCGATGCATTAATATTATGCTTTGTCTCAGCACCGACATCCGAAGCTTTGTTGACTAAAATTGTTTGAGATAAAGTACAAAGAACCTATTTTATTCTTTTTATATAGTGTATTGATGTCGGTTTTTAATTTTATCAATTAAATTATTTGACCTTTTTGAGTGGATTAAATAATTACACAAGTGTTACAACGTTGTTTGCAAAAAGTGTTTTTAAATAGTCGAAAGTACGTAACTACACTGATTTGGTGATTTAATTAAATGTAAACGCAGACAGCCCGTCTCAACGGTGACGAAACGTCTGCGCAAGACAAAGTTATAGCGTACAGTTGTGTGCATAATCACGTGAGCACTCTCTATTCCCTCACTCATAAGCGGGCTACATACGACACGATATCGGTGGCGATCTAGGGTGGAAAGAAATCGGGGCTTTTATCGGGGTAGACCTTACACACGGGCCTGCCTAGCAGTACGCGTTCGGACTTGGAGCGGAATGCATATGCGGTAGAGTTCTTCAAAATACCTCCGACTCTCTTAAAACACCACCGTGTTGGTTTGGCATTAGCCATCTCGGTTAATTTATTCGAAAATAGAAAAAGAGAAGTTGCTGGGTGAAAAATGGCTCCAAAAGAGATAAAAATTAAGCCACATAAACGTACTAAATAGCCTGTAATCCAAGGACGTGATTAATTTTCTCCGGATGGATGAAGAGTTTTTATAACCTTCTAGAAATGATTTCGCCACTTATATAAAAACGTCAATTTCTCCTACCTATGCTATTTAGTTATTTTTCTCTTTGTTCATTTCTGCTTTGGTCAAAATCTGGTTATGTATTACACACAACAAACGAGGAAATAAAATACTTTTGTATAATAATATGTATACTTTTTTTTAATGTAATCTTTATTTATGGAGTAAAACTATCAGAAAATAAAATAGCTTACATCTTTTTTTAAACATAAAGAAAGACTTGACAAAGGGTCGTCGCAAAAGGGCACAACAACGTCTGCCTGGCAAGTTAGTTAGTACATAAATTTTGGATGAAATATATTTTGTATCCAACATCACGCGAAGTATTGTTTTATTGGGTTATTATATTTATTGCGACGTTACACGAGTAGCCGTGTACCGAGACGTAGTCATTGACTTATATAATTACTAGCGTAAGGACCGGGCCGAACAAATAAAACGGACCAGTGCGCTGGCCCTGAAAAATTATATCACGTTTGATGTTTCATGTTTCTTTTTTCCCATATGCCGGGATTTTGGCGTCACGGATGTATGCGTTGACGGAAAATAAACGTTTCGTTTTTTGACGGTTTTATTTTTATTTCTGTTTAATTTTATCTAAAGAACTTAGTGTAAGTTAAATTTTGAATATTGGTACCTTATATATTTTATATTCAATAAGGATAAAACGAAAAGAGTACAAAAAAACCATACCTGCTTAATTGAATCTGAAAATCTGATTCATAATATATTTTGAAATTCTGTTTTCAAACCGATTGCTTCTGGAGAATAGAGTTTTTATCGTGCTAGTCCCTCATTACAGTTGTGTCAAGGATGCAACATAAATGCATCGATCGAGCATCGATTGACCAGAAAGGGAGCTAATTCTAATTTTATTAAAAAAACGCGGTACACATGTACAATACAAAAATTCTCGATATCATAGGGTTAATACTAAAGTGTCAATGGACCCAATAATAATACAAGTCGAACTTTAGGTAAAATTATGGTATTTTCCCTTTGTATTATTACGAAACTATATACTACAAATTACGAAATAATTGTACAATTATGATAATTATACTACGAAATCCGACCATGGTTACGTCGTGTTTTGATATGACGTTTGTCTTATGACCGATGCACTACTTTTTCTTGTATGAAAAAGTTATGAGTAAAATATTTAGATGGGCCTATCCTTCCTTTTGAAATCATTGGACGTAGTAGGTAGGTAGTATGACGATTAAGCATTGTGCTATTTTTAATGTAAAGGAGGCGAGAGAGGTGTGTCAGGATCGCGCCAAATAGTCTCTGCCTATCCCTCTGTGTGACAGTCGTGAGTGTTTATGTATGTATGTATATATGTATATACAAGCTATACTTGTACCATCAAATGTTACGTCGATGCGGAGATGCTATTTGAATTGACGAACGAGTTTATGAATGTTCGGGTAAACATTTGTGTTTGGACGAATGTGTAGTGTGAGCATAGCAATAGCGTATCTAGGGGTAGGGACCTGGAGGTGCTGAGCTGGGTGCAGATCGTCGAGCGCGGCGGCGAGGCGCGCGGCGGCACAGCGCGCCAGCTCCGCGCGCAGCGGCCGCGCACGCGCCCTCCCGCCCGCCGCGCACAGCCAGTGCTGCGCCGCGCCCAACCGGTAGCAACGCACCGCCTCGCGGCTCTTTACCCCGTCTTTACACAAAATTACACACGCTTACTACTCACGCAGATAAATAATCCATTACGTAATGTAATGTAATATTTATAACGTAATGTATTATTTATAGGAGGGATTTTGTCACAGTTGCCACACTTGATATGCGGGTTAGCAACCGTTGTTTTATTTTTTATTTTGAGCTGTTACCAGGGTGATACTACTGCCTGCTCTTACACGCCCGCGGGACGATATGGGTTAGTGTATATTCTTAACCCGCCACTACACGGTTTATCAGATTAAAAACAGGATAAAAAATGGCATCGCTGTTATTTACCTCTCGCTTGTACATTGTCGACCACAAAATAACGTTTTTCATGAATTGCGTTAGTTTTATAGGCAAACCACTTAAGAGTCCTCGCCTGCGGGGAATACCCGAAACGTGATATACAAGAGGCAAAATGTGTACTGGACAGTTCTTAACCTTTAAATATGCACTCGGTCGGATCCGACCACGGCGATATTCCGTTAAATTCCAAGTGGTCGGATCCGACCACACCCACCCACAGAACTTTAACCTGTTTGCTGTTCTTTCTGAATAAAAAAAATAAATAAATAAAAAAAATTGGCCCAATGTGAAATTTCCTATCATCTAATGCAATAAAACGTAGTTAGTTAATGGTTTTTATTTATAATCTACGTTCGTTTCGTAGTACGCCTATTTCGTGTGGCGTGTTATAGCGTTGACTTTTGGATTTTCCTGATGTTTTATTAGTGTTTAGTATCGTGTTTTACTATAAAATTGTTATAAAAGTTTTTGTGTGAAATCAATTTATCTTTTTACGTAAATAATTTCGAGTAATATATACAAATAATTGTGAAAATAACGTTGCTGTCCTGCGCTGGGTAAGTACATTTTTTACTATAAAAATAAAAATTAAAATATATTTGTATTGAAGTAAAAGCACTAATACTAGTAATATAACATAATGTTACGTGCTTGACGTTCGTGACAATAAAAATTGCCGATTGAATTACCAAAATTAACACTTTAATTCACTTTACACTAATTAAACTTAAAACACTAATAATTAATCACACTGATTCGCTTTATTCCGCTCCGAAGCTTCGCTTGTCGACAAATTCAATACTTCCCCGATCGCATCTTGCAGCGCCTATAAATACAAATTAGCACCGAAACATCCAGAATATCCATGTAAACACGCGCAAGGGGTCGAGAGTTCGAGTGTCAGCTACTAGAAGTTTAGTTCTTCGTTCCGAGACTAAATGGCGCTGTCGGTTGAAAGATTAGCGATGGTCGTTTTCGGGAAAGCTCCCCTCGCTCTCGTCCCCGACACTAGATGGCGCTAGTGCCGGGTACATGACGTCAACTTAGGCGCGTAACACTGCCCCCTCCTAAGACATGCTCGTCCCGAGCATTATCGGCCCCATAATAACGCGCCAGGCGATCCACATGGGCGATCTTAGGAGTCCCTCTTGCGCCTTTCTGTAACGGCTCTGCAATGTCAAGGGCTGTCCTATCCCATGGTGCACCAACATTGTACAATTTCGATGCTTCTCTACTACGTGTCTGAGGTCCCTTCACGGCCGCACAACTTGTACATGTACGACACCAATCCTCGATATCGTCACGATAATGGACCCAGTAAAACTGTTCTCGGACCTTCAGTAGAGTTCGTTTAACTCCCAGATGGACTCTTGAACGACCATTATGGCACAGCTGTAGAACATTCGACACTTTAGCCTTAGGTATAACCATTTGCAAACGACATCCCATTGTCCCATTGGGCCCAATAGCTTTTCGTGGTTGAACTCATCGCTGAGACGTCGCTCCACTTAGGCTTGGTAGCACGGGCCTTAATCCATTCCAGAATCGGCTTGGTGTCCGGATCTTCCTGCTGTGCATGTCGTAGGCTGTCTTTCCACTCGTTGCTGAGGTAGTCTGTCCTGAGCATCCTCACGGATACCACTTCCTTACTCTCTTGCCTAGTACAATGTTTCCACTCTTCAGGACAAGGTCTTCTTGACAATGCATCTGCGTTGCCATGAGATTTCCCGCTGCGATGTCTGATAGTAAAGTCGTATCCCGGCTGCTGCTGGGCGGTGATGTTAGCCGCACTTCCCTTCTGAGATCGTCCACCTTCCCTTTCTAGGGTTCGCTTAGGGCAGCTGGATCGAAGATGGCCCCTTTTCCCACAGCCATAGCACCTAGGGCTGTATCCTTTATTGTGGTCGCGAACCGTAACTGCTGCAACCTCCCTAGCGCGAGGGGAACGACGATCCTGCCACCGCCAGGCGGTGCCGTTAGCTGCACTACCCTCTCGAGATAGATTAACTTCCCTTTCTACAGTTCGCTTAGGGCAGCTGGATCGAAGATGGCCCTTTTCCCCACAGCCATAGCACCTAGGGCTGAATCCTTTGTTGCGGTCGCGAAATGTAGCTGCTGCAACCTCCCTGACGCGATGGGAACGATGATCCTGCCGCACGGCTTCCACTTCCAGTGCATGGGCCAAGGCGTCCTTAAGAGTCTCGTGGTGCCCGAGCCTCACAGCAGTTCTGACTTCCAGGTCGCGGATGCCGTCGATGAATGTCTGCACCAGGTTCCCTACAATGAGCGCAGGTACAGACCGGTATGCTTTTCGCACCAGCTTCTCCACCTCTAGAGCCCACTGCTGCAGGTTTTCGTTGATGCGCTGCACGCGATTTTTAAGCTGCGCACGAAAGACGTGTTCCAGGTAAGCGTCACCATATCTCGCCTCCAATGCCTCAAGGAGTTGCTCATAAATCACTTCCTCACCGAGAGCTTCCAGAACTGTTAAGGCCTGGTCGCGCAGGCCTAGTGTGAGAGCAGTCATGGCCTGACTTTTATTCCAGTCGTTCGCCTTCATAACAGCCTCGAACTGGATTTTGTAGGCTGACCAGGAAGAAGTCCCGTCGAACGGTGGCACCTTGAACCCACGTAGCGAAGGTGTAGTAGCTACTACGGGAGCTGTAGTTCCATCGCCAAGTTTGAGTTCGTCCAGTGATTTCTTCATGTCAGCCATTACGTTGTCAACCCGATTGTTCACTTGGTCGATTCGGGTTTCAGCTTCCGACAGGCGGTTGTCATGTTGAGCAACCTTATCCTTCACATCCCTTATCTCTTTCCCGAAGGTAGCGTGAATGTCCTTCATGAGGAGCATCTGCTCTTCCTTATCGCGCTTCAGCTGCTCTTCCAACCGACGGGCCTGTTCCTCCTGTCGGCAGGCCTGTTCATCCTGTCGGCGGGCTTGTTCATCCTGTCGGCGAGCCTGTTTCTCCTGCTGCTCTTTCAACCAACGGGCCTGCTCCTCCTGTCGGCGAGCCTGCTCCTGCAGCATCACCATCAGAGCACCTAAGTCAGGTGCTGCAGATGTAGGAGCTACTGACGGGCATGCAGCCGGTGGCTGGCCCTCCGACGTCAGCGGCATGGCATCACCAAATCTTCTTTTGGTCCGTCTCCTCCTGGCGTTGACTTCGGGTACGGACACCCTCCGTTTCCTCCTTAGGTAAAATCGGCATGATTTTATCCCACTTCTGACACCAATTGTTACGAGCTTGAGGTTCGTGACAATAAAAATTGCCGATTGAATTACCAAAATTAACACTTTAATTCACTTTACACTAATTAAACTTAAAACACTAATAATTAATCACACTGATTCACTTTATTCCGCTCCGAAGCTTCGCTTGTCTCGCCAAATTCAATACTTCTCCGATCGCATCTTGCAGCGCCTATAAATAAAAATTAGCACCGAAACATCCAGAATATTCAAGTAAACACGCGCACAAGGGGTCGAGAGTTCGAGTGTCAGCTTCTAGAAGTTTAGTTCTTCGTTCCGAGACTAGATGGCGCTGTCGGTTGAAAGATTAGTGATGTCGTTTTCGGGAAAGCTCCCCTCGCTCTCGTCCCCGACACTAGATGGCGCTAGTACCGGGTACATGACGTCAACTTAGGCGCATAACAATAATAAATAAACAGAAACAAGTATTATATTGAAATTTATAATGAATTTTATACAAAATAAATGTACGACAAATTCAAGTTTTTTAGCGACGCCGCGAGCTAGCGGTGTCAATAGGACACCTGAGTTTCGGTTAAAAAGAGCAAGGCCGGCTTCGCCGTCTACAGATGCTAGTGGATAGCGTTAAGATTAGAATGAAGTCCCCTGATGTTGCAAAAGTTCAGAGGTCGCCTTGGTTTTATTGCTGTGGATGCTCAGCGAAAGATTCTCCTTCAACAGTCGTGGTACCACCCCGGCTCGAGCCGGCCCATCCGTGCGACAGCAAGCTGCTGCTTGTCTCCACCACTTTCTAATTATAATATATAATTCTTCACTTTAGAAGCAGCCATCATCAGAATCATCTGAATCGTCCTGGACATTAATAATAAAATCAACAACATCATCTAGAACTCGGTCATGTTTTTAATTACATGGTTAACACAATGCTACCACTTCTCTATGGAATATCCAGAAAATCCCTCTATAATCCCTGCAACATATTTTCTTTGGTCCAAATTAGAGTCGATACCTGTTTGTGCTAACTGTCCTTTAATATGTCCTAGACTAACTCAAGTGGGTTCAGGTATGGGTCGTATGGAGGCAAACGCAACACTTCATGTCCGTTTCTTTTCAATAACTTGTCAATTTTGTAAATATCTTCTGTGAATAATTTAAATAAGTCATCCTTTCTAAGTTTATCATGAAAAGGCACGTCATGCCGTCGTAGCCAATCTTGTATAGCTGGCTTGGTAGAAGCCACAGTCGGCTTTTTCTCTTCTCTAACCGAATAATAAGCTGCGTTATCCATTACTATGACAGAATTTTGTTAATATATTAGGTATGAGTTTATCATTTATCCATTTACTGAAATTCACGAAATTCATAGAATCGCGATAATCACCTGTTTTACATTTGGATTTAAATATCATAAGTGCTCCGTCTACAAATCCAGTTTGGCCTCCACAGTGTACGATGATCAAACGGTCTCCTTTACCGATATTAGATAACAGACCATGTTCATTCTTTGATTCCCAACAATTTGAAATATTATGAGACGCATCAACATAAGTTTCGTCAAGATCATTCTTCTTTATGATGTTTTTTTAATAGTAATTAGGTATTTCCACCTCCAAAATATTAATTATTGTAATTATTGAGTTTCGTTTTAGATCTGCAATTCCTTAATCTAAAATTAGATCATGTAATAATAGTCTTTAATGTTCCCTGCTGCAGTGCAATACATTCTCTTCTCTAAGTACTGTACTCAAAGTTTTCAGAGTTGGTATCATATCATGGTGAAATTTTCTACTTTCACTCTTTCTGCGAATCCATTTTGATTTTGGCTAAGGTTTTGTTTAAAGGTATAAATATCTTATTGATATTAAGGAGAATTTGGATCCAATTTTATTTTCTAAAATATTTGTACACCTTCAAAAGCCATTTGCTTACACTGACTGTTAATTAAATATTCAATGACATTACGACTTATCTTGATAATGTAATCTCAATTATAACTCTCACAAAGCGTCAGTAACTGTCAACACGTGCGATTGCTAACCGGTAACCGCGTAGCGAGCGAACATAGTTGAGTTTTGACAAAATGCGCCTACCGTGCCGCCCGCACCTCTCTCGGTCCCCGTTCTCGTCTACCTCGCGCCCCAATACCTCGCAGGCGAGGACTCAATTAAGCGGTGTGCCTATAATTTTAATTTCAGTGCGGTCTCGCTAATCCGTGATCTAAAGCGATCAGAGTTTCCCGTGTTATTGGTCGATTTAAATCACCTACAATTTGATTGCCCTACTCATAACAGTTTACCTTTGCTTACTCAATTTAAATGTTGACTATCTTTACATCTGTCTCTCTATTGGCATTTTAGAGAAGAGAGAAAGAGAAACTTAAGGCATTTTGTTAGGTGACAAAAAAGTAATTGAAGTTTATGGGCTCTACAACACTGCTAAAAAGTATTTAAAAATATTTTAGTAAATGTGCAATAATTTTCTTACTGTTTAATTTGAATGAAGCAATATAAAACAAAGTTACACGAATCCTGGATTAAAAATGAACCACTGGGATAAGTCCAAAACACACAAACCAAAAATAAAATAACGTTATTTATACGTGGTAGTCATGCTGCAGCTTTATTATTTGCTTTATTAGTTGTAGCACGAATGGGTCGGCCTGACCGGGGTAAGTTAATACTGCTGTGTTTCGTATAGTGAGTGTAGAGAACTGGATACCCTTTTTACTGGAAACGATGCATTTCATCGCACTCCTCAGGGGTGACAACGCATCTGGATTTGATATTTAATTGAGAATAAATGTAGATGTCTATGAGCTACAGTATCCAGTATCCATTTACAATCAGATGGACTGTGTATGCTCGTTTATCATTCCTATTCTATAAAAAAAATTGAAAAGCGACTAGCTGATCATGGCCATTGAACATCAAAATTACGACTATCTAATTATGACTTAAAGGTATTAAAATATGTTTACGATCTCTAAAACAGAGAGGCTGAAAAAAGTCGATCAGCTTGAAAACATAGGAGATACCTATAACGCGTAAATCAATAGCGGTCAGTCGTGGAATGGAGGAAGTGAATCATGTCAATAGATTAGAAAAAGAACTGGACAAGAAAAGTGATCAACGAAAATGGTATGAAGATTCAAAAGCGAAAGCTGCTTCGATTCCGACAGTGACGTCGACAAACAATAATGAGGACGTTCGAAATACAATGTCAGGATGGATTAATTACCAGACAACCCCGGTGAAGTCCTGAGTAATAGAACATAAACTAATTTAATGCTTAAAAAAGTTCAATTTACTTCAATAGTAAGAGTATTGTTTCATTCAAAAGTAAGCACTCAATGGCTAAATTACTTAAAATAAATATTACAATAAATGGGTACCTACTTCCTTATATAATATTCAGTTAATAATTTAATTGCATTCATAATTAAATTGGTTTAATAAACTAATCAGATGTTTCTAACCACAAAATAAACTAACATAACATCTTAATTAATATAATTATAGCTGTCGTTTCTAATATTATGGTATAACGTTATTAGCACTATTTTTTCTATTGGTCCCGAGTATTCCGCCATATTTAATCCCATTCTTTTTTCCAAGGATACTTAATTACTTTTAGCTAACGGCCTCTTCATTTGCTTCAATTAATGTGGAAGAAAGATGGGGAAGAGGATACGATCCTTCCCAGAACGTGTACCTTCCCCTCTTCTAGAAAAGAGTTTAAGGGAACACCGTCGACGTTTTCTAAAATTTGTTTAGAATGGACGCAAAAGTACAATAAAAATATTTTGTTAAAATAAATATGAAAGAGGCTATTTTCGTCTTATGAGATAGACACATAACTCAAAACAGATTTTATCTGTTGATACTAAGATACCATTGTGATAGCGATACGATATAAGTAAAACCACATGTCTCAATTGAGAGATATGCGGCTAAAAAAATTCGACGAAAACAGTCAATAAAAAGTTATACGTTACCAACAGAATTTTGACTGTAGAGGTGGCCAGCCAAGATGTAGAGTTTTTTAATTCGCAATGGCGACGCTTTCTTAGACGCCTCACTATTAGCAAGCTTAAAAGATATTAAGAAAAATCATTTATTTGTATTTTAATATATTTGAAATTTTAAATAAAGATATTAATCATTAAAAATAATAAAATTCCTTGCCTGAAAGGCCGCGGCTGCAGCTTGTATCATTCTTCCGGTTTCTTTCAGCTGCACTATGTTCTGAACTGATAATGTCTGATTTGTGTCATTTACGTCATCAATGATTGCTTGTTTTGTTGATCCATCCTAAAATATAAATCCTAAAATGTTACTTATTTTTATACAGAGGCATAAAGAAATAATCTATTGCTGCCTGTTGTTTCCTCTAACCTTGACATGCCTTGGCGATCCTGTAAATAATTTAGCTAAAGATTCATTGTCTTCTAACGCCATGTAACACTTTTTTAATCCTTCAATGTTATTAGACATGGTATAATACTCGACAGCGCCAATCCTGTACATAAAATAATACAATTAAGTGTTATGTAACTGCGGCACATCATCACATACCTACATGTTTAAAATCTTTAATAATAGCTTGAGAGCTAGTGAACCCTCCGAGTAACGGTCTTCGTGTAAGGTTGGAAATTTGTACACTTAGCATTTATAGCATGCTAAGGGCAATAGCCATGACCTGGCAGGCGTCAGCCCTGCACGTCGTCAGCCCATTTATTTTTTAAATTGTAAAATAAATACAGTATATAAACTCGTTTCTGTAAGGTTAAAAATTTAATAGGATGTAAGTAGTTTATTTATTGTAAATCTTGAAAAAAAAATTGACAGGCATTTGCAATGAGCAAAAGTATGTGACAGGTGAATTGAAAGGAGCGTAGTTGATGAGGTAAAATAAATTTTCTCCTGCATAGTTGAAATTTGGATATGTTTTTGAGTAAACGTTTTAAAATAAATATGTAAAATGACAGGCGGTTTTGAACAGCATAAGACCTTGACAGGCGAGGGGAAAGCTGCTAAAGGCGTGCGAGTGAGAAGTGTTACGTGAACGCCTATGGAGGGTTCACTAATTCTTGGACTATAATTTTGGGCAAATGTTGAAAACATTTCTAGCTACAACAAATTATTTTTCTCTGTCAATTTTAGCGTGTCTTTGAACATATTACGACAAAAATATTTAGGGGTGCCCGAATTTAAAGCAGTTATTTCATTATTACTCGCAAACAGTTTACTGCCCACACTCGGCAAGAGTTGTAGTAAAACAATTAGTAGCAAGATTTGTAGCCCATACTTAACAGACCATAAAATCTATTACTGGAGATGGGTCTCTCTAACAGTCATAAGGATATGTCGTAATTGCTACGGGTTTAAATAGCAATTACAGTACACATTCATCGGGCACATTCCCCCCTATCACCGATCTAGATATTTCAAATCTAGCGCATTATATGACATGGATCCGATATCTTAAGGTCACGGGTACTTCTTGGCTTTTTATTGTGTGGTGCCCTATCTTACATCAAAATTAAAATATAATCTTAAGACATGCAAAATTGTGTAAATTTTCCGGCGGTCCATTCCGTGAACCAACACCCTCCGAAATGTGAGGAGGCGTGTGTTTGTATATGAATATATGCAATATTATAGGAATCCAAATAGATTTGCATAAAAGAATAAACCAAGTTTAGAAATTCGGGCTTACCAATTTTGCCGGTCGAGGTAATAGTCACCAATGTTAATATAAGCCTGTTTCACTTCGGAGTCATTCGCACTGACCGACGACTTCAGCAGTTCTACCACACGAAACCAGTGACCCAAACGCTTTCGTAACGCTATCGCCAAATCTCTGTAATGCAAACATTATAGGAAAATTAATATTTTTAATTTGAAAAAGAAATGAGGCGACTTTTTATGAGCAATGTGCTTTGTCCTTTTATAGGTAAAGTAGCTTACAGTTTAAAAAAATCGAAATTTAAAAGTGTTTATTAGTAAATTAAATAGATTTATTATACTGTTATGAACAATATGTAAACTGAATTAAAATCCAAGATAATCATTAGATTTAGGCGATTTTTTATGGTAGTAGAGAATCTTCTAGACAATCGTCATCCTGTGGGTGTCGTAAGAGACGACCATAGAATACTATAATACACAATAGAATGGCTGTCAACTTTATTTTATACGAGAATTGGCGTCGCCAAACCCGATTCGCTGTGTTGACAACCTGAGTAAATTTAGACATTTTAGACTTTTGACTAATGTTCAAGATCATCGTTAAATTTTAATACATATTTATTTGTGAATAGGGTTCAATTTAGCATTTTCTAAATAATTTGCATGCGAAATTTGGAAACGATTGTAACGTCAAAACACATATCGTGTTGACATTTATACGTGTAAATTGACGTGTTAGTGACATTTTAGTGGCTACGCGAGCTCCGCCTACTCTCCCGTTATATTATATACGTATTATATGGAGTAAGTAAGTAATTTTATAGAGACGACAGATGAAAAGCAACAGAGCACGGGCAGCTGCAGCCTTCTAATTACAATTAAAAATAATTAAAAAAACCAAGGTGTCAAGCGTGGCAGCCTTGGCAAATATAAATAGAAGGGGAGTAATTTTCAGCAAAGAATAGTTGTAATCATGAATGAATGAAAATAATATATAAACCTTTGTTTATAATATACCATTATTTTTTTAATTAGCATAAGTTTGGCACTCACCTCCTGTCTTCTTCATGGTAAATCTTCTCGGCGGCATCGAATTCTTTAAAATAAGCCAGAATCTCCGCTTTTTTAAGGGCGTTTGAGTGCAAAGCTTTCAAGCGATTAACGAATCGAATACCAGCGTAGTCATTTCGCCGCACGAACGCAGCCTCTGCCGTCTCTAAAGCTGACTCTGATTCGAAATTTTTGAGAGCTGCTTCGGCTAACAAAAGCCTTAAACATAAATATATAAATTAAAGATGAGGAGTGACAGCGAAAGACCATAGTAAGGCGCGTGAACCTCTTACTATGGGCAGTATCCGAACAGGGCAATGTTAATATTGTAAGATTCAACCCCATTAAAACACAAGCGGTATCTGCAATGAATTGCACATAGAATCCTGCTCATCCTAACTTCTAATTTCATGTTATTTTTCATCTTGACTTCTACATTGAATTTCACCGTTCACCTTAGTTTTTAAGGGTTCCCAATTTGTTCTAATTTCAACTTTAAGCCGTCTATTTAATCTAAAGCCAAACCAGCCACAAGATTTTTTTTAATTCCTTATAAATTTGCCGACGCACAAATTTTTTATTAAGCGCAATATTGTTTGATAATGTAGTGGCTAAATGTTTAACTGCGGTGGTGTATGTTGGAGTCGAAGGATGCAGGTGTCAGGACCGTGCTTTCTAGTATTCCTGCGAGGAAGCCTGTGTTAATCAGTGTGATTGTTAAAGGCTTTAATGATAATGATGATGAATCGCGTTCTCGACAACGGCACTAACGATGTCGAAGAAATTTGGGCACGGAGGCAAACATCGGTCTATTTAGGTCTCAGTTCTGGTAAAATTTGCTATGCAGTATGATTGGTAATTTCGCCATAGAAGCTACCTTTTATTTACCATAGCCATTATAAAAACAGTATCGAGCGTTCACGTATTGTGTTGTTAAAAAAAATTAAAAAATACGGTCACGTTGCCTGACTGTATAGTATGTTTTATAATTCCTGAATATGTAATAAAAAAAATTCTGGTAATAAAATATTGCGATGTATAACAAATAGCGGCCTGTCGATGACCAGAGAATCCAAGTTATGATCCACCTGAAAAGTTGGTCGAGCTGCCATGCGTTATACGTAAATTTCGATCTCACAGAGATACTGGCTGATTCAAAATTTTCGCATCATATTAAAAAACTAAACATGTATTGTAATTCAGGTTTAAAAATAGCTCCACAAATCTCTCAGAAATTAGTGGAGGTTTGTGCCCAGCAGTGGAACGTGTATATAGGCTGCAACTTAAATTTTCTTGTTTCAATATCAACATCTATTTTGATTTATTTGTTATTAATATCAACATCTATTTTGATTTATTTTATTATTATTGTAAGACATTTACTAAAAAGTACATAAATATTCTAAGGTTTTAGTAAATGATAAAAAAAATCTACGCAATTTTTTAAAGTTAATTAAACCTACCAAAGCTGTGGATGAGGGTTATCTTTAATAAAGCTTTCCGCTTCCTTTAAGCCAACTTTCTCAATAAGTTGACGCGTATCTCTCAACGATTTCACTTCTACTCGCACAATGTGTTGAGGCGTACACTTATCAGTCATGTTATCCAGAAGCGCCGTTGTTATTTCTAACTCCTGTAACAAAAGATTGTATGATACACGCAATACTAGCCTCGATGTAGAATATTATTTTATTATTGTTTATATTATTATCTTTATATATTCTGCTTAAGAAATCCTGTTTTTTCAATCTTGAATGATAAAACATTTTTACATGATATACATACCCGTGCACATGGTTTTTTCAGTTCAATCAAAAATTTTACAACTTTTGTAGAATCAAGGACATACCATTGGTTCCATACTTTTAGTTATGTATTCAGAGTACTCTATTGTGAAGTCAGAATGTGTCAAAAAACGCACGTATGGCAATTCACAGTGCTGTATTAGTCCCTACTTTAACGTATGGTAGTGAAAGTTGGGTGTGGCAAAACAGCACGAGAGTAGAATAAATGCAGTAGAAATGCGGTCGTTAAGGAGTATGTTAGGGCTGAATCTGAGTGACAGGGTGAGAAACTGTGTGATAAAAGAAGAGTGTCGTTTGCAGAGATGAGATGAGAGATGATGCGGTGACCAGGATTAAGAAAGGAATGCTTCGGTGGTTTGGTCATGTAGAAATAATGAATGAGGAAAGACTGACAAAGCAAATATATGTTGCAGAAGTGAATGGAAGAGTCGGAAAGGGACGTCCTAGGCGAAAGTTTGGCGACGAAATTGGCGATATATTAAAAATGGGCCAAATTAAGAGTACCCTTAACCTACGAGCATGTATGTGTAGGTATATGGATGTGGAAGAGGCGAGAGAGATGTCAGGATCGTGATAAATCGAAGTCTGTAGTCTCTGCCTACCCCTCTGGGTGACAGGCGTGAGTGTTTATGAATGTATGTAATGTATTCAGAGTATTAAACACTAACCTTAAACTTGCAAAGATAGCCTTGCATGGTTAAAGGTTCTTCTGGCTCACTGTCTCTCATAACATATAAACGAGCCTTTTCAGCCACAGCTAACATTTGGCAGTTATCACACGCCCATAGCGCACTCCACACGTCCTTACGTAGTGCTTGACCAATACTTATATTGTTAGCCATATCTGTGTCCAAAACGTATAAAGAACCAGGCTGATCGATGACGAAGAACTTACTAATAAAAAAAGATAAGAATATAGTCGATGATTTGTGTTACATGTATGTCACAGCTCAATGGTTTAACCGTTTAACCGGTCGGCAAACTAAATGGCTATCCACTATTCAATGTTCTAAAACGCCTAAAGAAAGCTAAGCAAAATCGACCTTAAGTATCTACCTTTAGCCATCTGGGAACTAATTTTTCATAGTATGCACGGTCGAAAATCATGATTGGTGAGTTTCTATCCGAATTATCCGAAAGTAAATCAATGTTTCTGTTGTTAATGTTATCACAAAATACTATTTGAACGGTAAAATTAAAAAGAAATTAACCCTTCCATCCCTATAAAAATCCGATGCAGTCGCATGTGCCCGGCAAATCCCGAGCGGTCGCATGTAACCGCACCCACCCGCAACACTTAAAACCATTAAGAGTTATATTTAGAGACTAGTTTTTTTAATAAGAAGTTTGGCATTATAAAATCTATACAAAATTGTCTATATAAAAGTCAGGTTTTACTTCATTACAAAAAGACTATTGTATTTTGATAACAAAAACAAAACATACCAAGCGAATGTCGGCAGCGTAAAAATGAAAATTATTTCAATATATATTACGCGAAATTATTTACGTAAAATGATAAATTATATTCACACAAAAACTTTCATTACAATTTTATAATAAAACACTACACTAAAACACTAATAAAAAAACTAGAAAAATCCAAAAATCAAAACAAAATAACATTCACGCGAAAATGGCGTATGAAATTAACGTAGATTATAAATAATTATCCATAATTATATATCTTTTTATTGCACTAGAGGATAGGAAATTTCATATTGATTCTATAATGTCCAAATTCTTCATAAAAAAGTAGTCTCTAAATATAAGTTTTAATGGTTTAAATTGCTGGGGTGTGCGTGGTCGAATTCGACCGCCTAAATTTTAACGGAATAGCGCCGCGGTCGAATTCGACCGCTTGGGGGCTGAGGGGTTAAATACATGGCAACGCCGAATTCTTCCGGGAAGGGCAGACTTTCAGACAGCCTAAATGTTAAGTGTTGTTCGTACCGTAATTAAAGCCTAGGTATTTAGGGTAAAACCGGCATAAAATCAACGGTGATGCCGTCCAATTAACTTTACGTTTATACCATCGAGCTACGACATTCATAATTTTACTAATATTATTTCCAATTCCACGTACCTCGAATTTGAATTAAGTCCCATTTTATATGGTTTCGTGTTCATATTAATAGACGTTATTTTCTTAAAGTTTACAAGGGAGAAAAGCAATATTGTACCCGAATCTCTACCTACTACAAGGTGGCTGTCCGAACATGCTATACAACAAATTGTTTCATCTTGGAAACCACTTTCTCCAGCTGTAATTGACGATCCTTCTGCATTGTACCATTGCTCTGATGTACCTGCAAGTTAATTTTTGTTTATTGATAAGGTAACAATTAAATTCACGCCTATGCGTATTAAAAATTTTGTTACTCACGAGGTCTAGAAGGCGTTGAAAACTTCCATATTAAAAAGGACTCTTTGGATGCAGCCACTACTATAGCTTTACTGTTGACTGCTACACTTACCACAGGTACAGTTATTGTTTTTGCTGCGTTAAAATAAAATATTTAAGGTAAAATAGTAAGACAATATACATATTTCAAAATAAAAACTCGTCTCACCGTCGCATTGGATTCCTTGCTGGTTTGATATTATTAGTGTGTTGCTAGTGGCTATGATACAGTATTCGTCTATCCCACTCATGTCAACTACGTCCGGAATATGATTTATCCAGGACTGAAAATTGACATTGAAATTTACCGTTCTATAGATAGATAGATAGATAGAAAATTCTTTATTGCACTCAAACAAAACAATTTGGTACTAAGGCGAACTTAATGCCGAAAAGGCATTCTCTGCCAGCTAACCTTTTGTAGTGTGGTGAGAGCTATGGGTAGAGCCGCGAGAGAAAGAAAAACTAACTTATTTATTCATATACATTATATAATATTATGTATATGTTAGTTTATACATATATACACTTATACACATACATATATATGTGTGTATATATATATTTATATATATATATATATATATATATATATATATATACTATATATATACATATATATTTAAATAAAATATATACTAAACCAATAAAGCATAAAATATAGTATACGAAATTATAATAAACGTAATCAATAAAATTAATCAAGTAAGTTTAAATAATATGCCCCAAGCTTACGTTTAAATGTATTTATGAAGGAGCATCTTTTAAATCTCGTGGAAGGTTATTCCAAAGTGTAATTGATGATACCGTGAAGGAATCCGAGTAGTATGCAGATTTATGCATCGGGATAGTTAGAGTTTTGTTGGTCATCGAACGGGATAAGTTTAAATATGAAAAACGCTCTTTTAGATAAACTGGGGAACAAGGATTGTGAAGAATACCATACAAAGTGGTTAGAAGGTGTGTGTTCCGGCGAAAACGGATGTAGAGCCACTTAAGTATTGAGCAAAATTGTGATATATGATCAAACTTGCGCAGGCTAAAAATATAGCGTATGCACAGATTGAGCAGACGGTCGAGTTTGCTAAGCAGCTCCTTAGTTATATCTGGATAGGCAATATCAGCATAATCAAAAATAGGAAGCAACAGAGCGTTGACTAGCGTAACCTTGGCCGTCTGAGGAATAAATTTTTGCCAGAGCTTTAATGAATGCATAGTTCCAAAAATACGTCTCCTGACCTCATTAACCTGTAGCACCCAACTTAGATCGTCAGCCAAAATTAAGCCAAGGTTCTTAACCTGCCTAACATATTCCAAATCTACACCGTTTAGAGTGACCTTAGGTAGATATTGATAGTCAAGTCGACGTGTAATTTTTCTGCTCCCTATGATTATAACCTGTGTTTTAGCAGGATTTAATATTAGCCCATGACATCTTGCCCACTGATGAACTGCAGCAAGATCAGAATTCATTCTGTCAACAGATGAATTTAGGTCATTTAAACTAAAATGCTGATACAGCTGGACATCATCTGCGTACAGGTGATACTTGCTGAAATTTATTACGGAAACAAGTGCATTGATAAACACAGAAAAAAGCAACTGAGATAAAACACCGCCTTGAGGAACACTAGCAACAACGTTACACCAATCGGAGAACTTATCATCAACACGTATGCGTTGCCGGCGTCCCCGAAGATAGGAACTGAACCATTGTAGAACTGACGATGTTAAATTCAGGGATATCATAATTGCTAACAGGATTTCATAGTCAACACAGTTAAAGGCGTTAATGAAGTCCAGAAGGACAAGAAGAGTGAGTTGACGATTATCCATCGCGAAGCGGATATCATCAGTTATTTTAATTCTATACAAGTTTTATAATTAATGAAAAAATAATATTAGCAGAAGTACCACATACCTGATGTGTAACGGTGTCCCAAAATGTAATAGTATCGGTATCGGAAACGAACGCAAGGGTGTTCCCGTAATATGCGTATTTGTGATCGGGTTTTACATTAGCAAAATAAATGAAAGAGTCTATAGCTATGGCGAGTCGCAGGGAATGTCCCTCCCATGATAAAGCTCTCATTGATCCACCTGGAACTCGCAGAGTCCTGACATGCTGAAATAATAAGTATTTTAATAACTTCTGACATTTTTTCATTTCATTATACAAAGTAAAGAACTGTTGCTTCGCGTGTATCTTGCAAGCTTCATTACATGGCATGCTACAGTAGAATATAAAAATACGTATTACATTAGTCACGCCACGCCGTGCAATCTATTCATTAATTTATATAAATATAAAAACGCAACTTTTCTTTGACGTTTGGATTGAAAAATGAGAAGAGCGGTGCGTCAAAGTAACTAATAAACGAGACTGGCGATCGACAAAAAGTAGAATACCTATCTTTTTTCCAAATAACAGTAATAGGGAGTAGCATTGTTAATCCAATAGTACCGACTTCATGCTCAACACTCCGTCTACTCAGCGTAGTGAATGTAGCAGTTCTTAAACGCAGACCTGCATTCAGCAGTTTATTGAAAAAGCCGATTGTGAAAAAAAAATATTAGCATTATATCCAGGCGGCGGTATTTCATCCCGTGCCTCGAAAAGCGCGTAAAGCCATTGGACTAGCACCTGTGATCGGTCTTTTCGGATTGCCTTCCTATTAGAATATGGGATCCTATCCTGCGAAGACTAGCCTCCGTTGAGATTAGCCGCCGTAAACGAATTTCGGTCTGAAGGACATTATTATTATATTCTGCCAGCCAAATTCGGAAAAGGGCGACGTCCCGGTAGTGCGTATATTTACACAAACCATTTACGAGCTACTTCCGCCATTTTTTCCAAAATTGTTAGACTTACGTAACAACTTGCCTGTCCGCGAAAAAGACAATAGTTGAACAATTGAAATGTTTAAGATGTCTAATAAGATTCGCCTTAAATTCCTCAAATATCATGCTAAACCTAATTTATTTCTTGAACCTTACTATTGTAAGTATAGTACTTGTGGTCGTAGGCCGTTAGAACTGCATGAAGAGTCTATTATCGATGTGATGATTGTATGTTTTTATTATTGTAGATATTATTGTTTTAGGCGTAGAAGGAAAAGGGGAAATACCCCGCCAGCGGATCGGCCAACGCTCCATGAGGTAGTAAGGAACTTGTTATATATAAGATGATGAAGCGACAGACGACTATTGGCAGGGCGCGGTCCGCGAACTCAAAAAGGTCGTGGGTTCGAATCCGCCATCCGACTACTGGCGTGAACCACTCGTAACACAAGCAATTTAAGCTTACCACGAGTGGTTAAGGGAATATTAGTAATGTTTGTAGTATTGTTAATATTCTTTTCTAAAAAAAATATGTTACCGACAAATATGCAGTTATTCAAAAATTCGATAGCGTAATTTCGCCTTTGTTTGTTTTGCAGTCCATAGCGCTGGGAAGGCGATTACGATTCAAAATCCAAGAAGGAAAGGCGGCAAGCGGCTGGGTACAGGTCCCATTCCAAAACTTTTAACGTTTGCTGTTGCGAGTATAGAAATACACGGTCGGAACAACAGCGACCATTCGACTACCCCCAGCTTACCATCACAATCGCGGCCACTAATCGTTTGGCGTTTTCATATTGACAAATGAGTGGCGCCATTTCTTCATCAACGAAGGTTTATGTCAGCACAGAAAACTTTCTAGACCGTGTGCGTCATTCCGGCTGGAGTCCCCATGGCAAATTCTAGATTCTAGGTTGCCTTCAGAAATGGATAGATGAAGTCATGCTCGTGCTGTACACGTACGACAGCGCATACTTCACACTGGATAAGTGGAGGATGGCCATAAAAGTCAGAACGGCCGTTTTGTTTACAGACAGCTTTCTAAATCGACCGCATCTCCTCATTCTACGAAGACAAATCAAAGACTGGAAGACCGCGGAAACTTATCTGGGATGTCAGATCGACCACTTGGTGCGCATGACTCTACTGGTGGACAAGTCAGCGAAAACTTTGACGTTCCGCCTACCGACGGATCACACCATTTTTCCGCCGGTATTCTGTGAAAGATCCATCTCCAGCCCAGCAAACCCATTCGTGCTACTACCATAATACAGCTTCAGCATGGTTCTTATTAGGACACTGGTGGACACTATGCTTTTATAATCATGTTATGTTTACTAAACATAGCAACATTAAAAATATTCATTGAATTCTTACCTCACCATAGGCACTAAAAAATTGTACCACATTTGCTTGGTCTTTAGTACAGCCTGCTGCTGCTAATACAGTCCCATTATGATTCCAATGACAATCAATAATTGTCATATTAGTTTCAACAACAACACTCTCTAAAATATTAAAACAAAAAATAATAATACATTAAATCACAAACAATAACAATACAAATATAAACCGTTTAATAAATATGCATACCCTCTTCAATGCAGTTTTTCATTAGTAGCAACTGACCACTTCCATAACATATCACCAACACCGGTCTGTTATTTGGTGCCTTTCCCGCATACCAGTCCATTGATATGATTTCTATTGATCCAGATGTAGAATTATTAGCGACCGGCATCTAAAATTTAATTTAATAGATCATTTTGTTTTTCATCTTGTGACGGAGTTACCGTGTAGTTGCGGTGTATGGAATACCACAATCCCATGTCGTCTACTGGCTGCCGTAAGAGGCGCCTGAGGGAAACAAAACGGCAGGCTTATCTTGGCAGGCGCTTAGACGATCCAAGTATGTACCAGACGTTTCGCACCTCTGATGTTGCTGCCGTTCGCCAGTTATACCACCATATGAAGCCAAAGTCGACTCTTACGACACCTCCGAGACGATGACGGATTATTTTACGCTGCCACCACGCCGGCAATCATGGTTAAATTGTTATCAGGAGACAGACTATTACTTACTATAAAACTTCCCTGATCGTCATATAGATGTAACTCTCCATTTGAAAGTGCGAAAAGTAAAAGAGTGTTGTCAGGAGACCATTGGACTGCACTCAAACCAGGACCTTTAATATCCTTTCCCCAAATGCGAGATCCATCCACAGACCCAACGATAACAGCACCTGAAAAAAATATTTATCATAAAACCAATTTGAATCACTAATAACACACTTAGATATTTTTATATTTCTGATTATTTGTATTACCATCTTCATATGCTATACAAATTTTTTGACCGTCAGATCCCCAAGCCATACTTGAAACGGTAGACTTGTTTCTATTATTTATCATCTCCTCATACCAAGAACCCTGTGAAATAAGTTTTTTCTGATAAATTGAATAACAAAATTTAAACATTTGCATCAGAGAATACATGCATTATAATTTGTCATAATGTATTTATGTCGAGGACTTTACCTTATAAAGCATCCACACTATTATAACACCATGTTCATCGCTAGTTGTAAGCTTCTGGAAAACTTCATTCCATATGGCAACTTGTAGATGACCTGTATGACCTTCTAATGTAAGGTTCATTGAAAGATTTCCTCCTCCACCTATGCAAAAAATATTTTAGTTATGGACTTATATTCATTGCTGACCACAGTCAATTCGTGAAATTTACATCATACCACACCAGGGTAGGTGGACCAGCGACAGAGTCATCTTAATAATTGCATTATAGGATCCATACCCCAAAAAGTTTAATGAATTCTGAAGATTATTTCACCATCCACCGAAAGTAATTTTATTTTTAAGAAATTTCATTCACATTTAGATACTTCAGTCACACAAAGTTAACATCTATCCGTCATATTTGTAAAATAAATGTGTGTTCGGAATAAAATCTCTATATGTAAAAATCTATTGCTGTCCTATTTCTCTCGCTAAATTTGAAAATGGCTGGACCGATTTGATGAATTTTTTCGTGTGTTTGAGTGAGTCATTAGATAGTTTAGATTCACAGGTGGACCCGGTAGATGGCGCTGTCGAGACCCGTGCGAATCCTGGGCAGATCGCTAGTACATGTATTAAATATAAAAATATATAAATATTTTTATATATTAAGTATATAAAATTCAGTGGCATGTGATGGTTTAAAGGAATTCATCATCCCATTTTATCCCGTGTGTATCTTAAGAGGCGCCCATGAAAAAGCCAGAAAGACGTAATGGCTCCGGTCCAAACTCCGATATATAGCGTTATAATCATTTTATTATTGTTGTACCTAGTCCTCACACCTTTATCGCCGACATGCGGCGCAGTTTGCTTCGTCATTCATATTACGTACAGCAAAGGAGTGGAATAATATGCCGGCATCTGTCTTTCCATCCGATTATAATGTGGGTATTTTAAGGCGAGATTAAATAAGCTATGGTTAAGTTATTGCGCTTTTAGGTGCGATTCCGTAGCCGACGGCAGGCAACAGCAGCAGGCGACGTGTCGCTGCGACATGTCGTGGCGTCGTGTCGCTGCAGTCATGATTCCGAACCTGACTGCAGGTGGCAACAGCACGTGTCCAGTGTTTTGAGTGTTCAGTGGGACATGATGTCTGACGTGTTTGAAATTAGCGATCACGATTTATTTTTGTATCTTTTGTTAGAAGAGGAAGAAGATGATGATGACTTGCTTTTAGAGAAAGTGAGGGAACGTACAGTGCGGGATATTGGGCCACCTAGATTACCAGTTTCTCTTCTTCGAAATCAGTGAAACTCATTTTTTAATAAAAATTCAACGTGTTGTTGCTCGGGCGTTGGCGGCACTACTGATCTGCAGTCGGACTACAGTTTCGTCTGCCGTTAGGCAAACGACGTGACGCTAACTACGGAACGTATTTCATAGAACTACATAGAAACCAGTTGTGTCGCGACGACAGGTCGCTTGATGCTGCTGTCTGCAGTCGGCTACGGAATAGTACCTTTACCATCTTCGGCTACATCACCACTTACCGTCAGGTAGGATACTAGTCAAGCACTAAGTACGTTACTTACTTTACTTTTTCTTACTAAAAAAAAACTTCCCACTTTCACCAGATGTAATATATCCAGCCGGTGACGGAAGACGGCATTAAATGTTGCAGGTGGCTAGTACTGCGATCGGCATTTCACAAAAAAAAATTGCCAAGTATGGTGAATCCTCGCGCAGCTAATACCTACTCTCTACGTGAGAAGTCCTTGTCAACCAGTCGATTTAATGGACTGACATAGAACATATGAAAGTACAACGTAGAATGAAGGCTTATAACATTCTAAGTGTTTTATTGTTGTTTTATGAAATAAATATTTCTTTATAATTAACTAAAGTTCAATAGTAAGGAGTCACATTTAATATACATCAATCCATTATATTAAAAGCAAATGCTAGGGTTAAGGTAAGTAAGTGATTATAAAAATAATAATAACATCTAACCCTGGTCAAATATGTATCAAGTTAGGTTTTTGAAATATTTTTATTTTGTATTTCTACACCAATTGATATTTTTCATCACAAGCCAGCAAAAGATACAGTAATCCACTCACAACGGCGGTTGAGCCTGGAGTGAGTCAATGAATCAAAGTGTATTTAGTAAAATAGATTATTACAAGGCTGCTCAAAACACTGAAAAATTTCGGAAGTTCTCAGCCAAAAAATAAATTATAACTAAACAATACAACATTTTTAAAAAATACAGTCCATGACTACTACTATAATAGATGAAGAGATTAAAAAAGAGATTGAGTTGAACAATTGATATTTTCAAAAGTTATCTTGTTTACCCCTCAATGCGGACTTCATAAATATACACCATAATCCACTAAAACCACTTTTTTAATGTAAAAATAGCAATTAAATGATTTAAAAAAATTAATTATTTCAACAATCAATTATCTTTCCGACAATGTGCTTTTTATATCATTTATATATTCAATATGATTGTTAGATATGATTTCATGCAGCAAAACATTCTTTGTGCTTAAGGCATGCAATAAGAATGTCAATTTTTAATTTTTTCAAAAATCTTTTAAAACCACGATGCATGTATTAAGAAATATTGTATTTAAGCACAGCGTAAGATAGGGACAATAGCTTCTTTTTATTATTTAGGTACCCACTAAAAAAACCATTAAGGATTAAAATAGGGTAGTAAAATTTGTATGACGCTTTCTATTTTACAGAGCAATTTCGTATCAGTATGGCAAGAAATTATTAAACAATTATTGTAACTTGAAAATTGGTACCAATTACTTTTGAATTAAAATAATGAATTATGCATTTTTTTAAAATAACAATAATGTTTGGGTTTTTTAACTTGCAAGGGAAATTCTTAAAACAAAATTATAATAATTATGATTAATACATATTTTAGAACTTCATTTCATATTTTAGAACTTAATAATATATATTTTATAAAACTAACCTCTATTAACCCTTAAAGGGTGGATCAATAAACATTGGTATTTGGGATTTTGTGTTTTGTACAAAAATAAGTTTTAAATATCTGTAATCCAGATAACACCATTACTCACACAAGTAAAAGAAGTCAAATTAAACACATAAAATTAATAAATAATTTATTACTTTGCAACCTTCCGCTAACTAATTACAAATCAAATCAAATATTTTATTTGTAAAACATAGGTAAAAAGTTACAAACTTGGTGGAAAAGGTATGATAAGTAACACTATGTTTCGCCTACAAAGGCATACAAACTATCTACCTGGCAATATGAAAATTAATTTTTAATAAAATAACAATTTCAATTATAATTAGTATGTTTAGAAATAACATTAATTATTATCTTAATTATCAATTACATATATATAAACATGTAATAAATAAATCGTCCATTAATTATTGTAGGTACTAAAAACCATTCATTTTATCTTCAAAGTATTCCTTGATAGAGTAGTATGCTTTATATATTAAAAAACTCGAAAGCAATTTCTTAAATTTGTCTATATTATCAGTTTCTATGTTTTTCGGAGTTTATTAAAAATTTTAGGAGCTACCCAGGAAACTTTTTGAATATACAGGGCTGTTTTATGAGGTTTTGTACGTAGTTTGTTCCTATGTCATTTATTATTAGCGTTTTCAAATATGCTAAAATGTTTCCTTACAAACATAGCTACTTCGAATATATATAACGATGGTAGTGTCAGAATGTTAAGATCAATGAAATGCGGTTTGCAACTATTAGTAACCTGCAACTGACATACTGCTCTTAAACATTTCTTTTGCGTTTTAAATACTAGTTCGCGTTTTGGAAAATTTCCCCAAAACATTATACCATTACTCAATGTTGAAGAGACGTATGCATGGTAGGCGGTTATGACTGTTTCACGATTTGTGTGGAATTGATTTATCTTTTTTATTATGTGTTCAATATGTTTACTCCATGTCATTTTTTCGTCCAGCCAAATTCCCAGAAATTTTGTGTGTTCTTTTTCATTTATGATTTTAGTTTTATAGTTAATATAAGTTTTGGTCGTTTTTTTCTTTTTTTGAATGACATAATATGCGTTTTATCCAAATTAATTTTAAGATTATTGTCATTCATCCAGTCTATTATCCTGTATAAATTCTGAGTTATGTCCGATTCAATTGAGACCTTTCTCTCGTCCCGTGAATAAAACTGTGCTGTCATCAGCAAATAAGGTCATAGGGTGCTGAGTCACCTGGGGCAAATCATTGATATATATTAGGAATAGTAATGGACCGAGTATGCTTCCTCGCAGCACACCGTAGGTTGTTTGCTTTTGTTGCGAAAGGTATGTTATTTCAATATTAGTACAAGGACAGATCTTTTTTATTTTATTAATTCGTTTCCTATCATTCAGGTATGAAATAATAAGTTTTAACACATTACCTCTGATTCCATATTTTTCCAGTTTAAGTGCTAACATATTTAAATCAACGTAATCAAGTTCATGGACATGACCAAGGCGGTTGTTGGTGTACGATTATACATACCGGTGATCACTTTTTCCATAAATCCATACATGGCCATATTTATGTTTTTACATTTTCTAAAACCATATTTTTCGTCTGCTAAGATGTTATTAACTTCCAAATAAGAATATAAGTCGTTATATATTACTTTTTCTATTATTTTGGAGAATTTTGGAAGCAAAACGACAGGCCTGTAGTTTTTAGGGTCAATGATGTGTCTTACCTAGATTGAAGCGCACCTCCAGCCCTCCCTCAATTCTATGCACTAACTCCGTCACCACTAGTCCCAGCACCACTACTCCCGGCACCACTACTTCCAACACCACTATTTCAGGTAAGACACACCATCGACGATAATACGACACGTGTTTCGCCTCTACACAAGGCATCCTCAGGTGATGTAGACTCTACGGCGGCTGACCGCTAAGTGAAAGTTTTTTATTATAATGGATTTCTGCAAAGTAACTCCTGATTCTATCAATTATCTTAAATATTTTATATTAACGCAGCAAAAACAATAACTGTACCAGTGGTAAGTGTAGCAGTCAACAGTAATGCTGTGTCTTACCTGGAATAGTGGTGCCGGGAGTAGTGGTGCTGAGACTAGTGGTGACGGAGTTAGTGCATGCAATTGAGGGAGGGCGGGAGGTGCTCTTCAATCCAGGTAAGACACATCATTGTAATTAGTTAGTGGAAGGTTGCAAAGTAATAAATTATTTATTATAATGGATTTCCGCAAAGTAACGCCTGATTCTATCAATTACCATAAAATTAATCTATAAAATTATCATATACATTATAGCCTGGTGTAGTATACAACACTGCTATTGCTTTAATTTATGATAACTGCTGATAGAAAAGAAAAATAAAATTAAACAATCGAACCGGTTTCCAAAGCAAGTTTTCTAATACCCTTAGAGATAAAATTTAAACTTACAAATCACAGGACTTTAGTTTGAATGTATTGGGTGCGTTTGGCAGAAAAAAGCGCTAGAAAGTGCTTACAAGCGCTAGCAAGTGCTTACAAGCGCTAAAATAGTTTTCGGCCAGGACACGATTGCTACTTCAGTAGCGCTGACACAATCCGCCATTTTGCTTATTTAATTTGTTTGTTTTGAAGTAGAGTTTATAAGTTTTTTTGGGCAATATTAGTTTTAAGTAATATAATGACATGAATAGACATATACATGTTATTAAAAATTCGTGATTGGTAAGTTTTTAATATGAATACTCTACAATCATATGTTTAAATTAGGTTAGGTTCCCCGGTTAAAACTAACTTCATGTCCTAGAGGAAATCAGCTACTTACGATTTGACAGCGCTTACCGCTTACAATCACCATTTTGCTTACAAGCGCTTGCAAGCGATTTTTTCTGCCAAACGCACCCATAGTCACTATCCTACATAATATAGCACTAAACCCAAATCACAATATCAGTAAAATCAGTTTTACACAGAAAAAACCTCCGTACCTAACAATTTGTATGGGTTAATATCAACAAAGGAGGTATTGAATCCATAATTGTCACAAACATAAGTGTAAAAATGTCTTACAACATAACATGTTTGATGGCTAACCTGCTTCCAATTTTAAAACTTTTAGCATTCCATCTTCCCCTCCAACCGCTATATATCCTGATGAATGATTCCATGATATACAAGTAACGTTGGATTGTTTAGGTATTGCTATCTGTAAGTAATAAATGTATTAATAAAGCTTAAGTTGCAAATTGATTAACAATTAAAAAATATTACCTTTTTACTCATATAAATGAACATTATTATTTCACTAATTATAACATATACAACAGAAACGTATGATTAATTACATATTACATGCCCTTTGAATGATATTAAATTCATTAAAATATACGTTTATTATACCAAATGTACGCTAATGTAAAAATTATAGAGCATAATAAACACTCAATGAATATTTAAAACTTCAATAGAAAAGTTATTTTAAATGCGTTGACCGATGATCGTCGATGTTGTTGACATGAATCGTAATCACTAGGAGTGGTCGTTACGAAACGTAACTAGTTACTGAAACTATCTATTCACACAATAGCGAGTAGCGGGTTATTGCAGTGCAACGAAACTATCTATTACAGTAGACGTTTTACTCAGTAACACGATTCACGTTTCACGAATCACGAACGAGCGATCACTAACAAAACGTTTATTCGGCTATTTTCGCGACGCGTCGGCGACGTCTTCGGCTGTTGAAGTAGAAGCACATGAGTAAAAAAACCGACTTTTTACGCTGTGGTAGAAGTACCACCGGTTGTCGAAAGTCGAGTGAGCGCGTGTGCTTTTGCATTTGACCTATGACTCTATTTCCTTCGTATAGATGCGATATTAGAAATGAGAAAGTAAGTGTACATGTTTTTAACAAAAAATAGTTCAAATACCATAATTTAAGTGGCCTTGGCCCGGTTTACATTAGTCTTTTGTTTAAGTTTTAATGACACGGTTTGTTTTTACTTTTTAGGCGCGTTTGTTTCCTTTTTGTGCAACAATAATAATATTTTTAGTAAAATAAAAACTAAATATCATTGTATATATTAGTGTTGATAATAATAATTGTACAGTAATTAGTGTAAATAACTAAGTGTAAAAATAATACTAAAACTTTATGTGATTGTTATCAAAAATGTCTCGAAGTAATGCCAGTGTACTTCGAAGTGATATTTTTATCAAACCGTGCGAACTGATTTAACAAATAAATAAATTTAACCATTAACACCATGTCTAATTCTATACGAAACGGTAACAACGGTCGCAACGTTTTGCAATTGAACACGTCGTGAAACACTCTATTGAAGCCGCTATTAAAATAGAATGTTTCCAAACCCTCTATTAAAATAGAGTGTTTCAAAAGCCGCTATTGATATTCGATAGATAGATTCGTTTCGTTACTCAAAGAAGCCGCTACTACCCACCGCTAGTAATCACGTAATGCCCTCGGATGCGTTGCTAAGATACGATCACAGACAATTTTTTATTAAGATTTTTGGCGTGGATGCTTATTTTTTTAGTCATAGCCACAGAAACAACATAAAATATTTTTGTAACACGATTTGATAAAGTAGGAGTAGGACCGTATGATAATTGATAATTTAAGTTTTTAAATTAAGATTTTCTTTAATATAAATTATTAATATTATTACGAGCTTAGGTGTCGTGATAATAAAAACTACCGATTGAATTACCAAAATTAACACTTTAATTACCGAACATAAATTAAAACTTAAAAAAAAAACATACTACACTTACACAATCACACTTATCACTTTTATTTCACTTTATTTTATTCTAGCGAAACATCATATCGTTGGTAACGTGGCTACCGTGATAACCGTGGTGGTTTTTGTTTAAAGGATTTTTGAAGAAACCATATTTGCGACGATTTGCTAACGATCTGATTATTTTATTTTTTATATTTATATTTATCTAATAACGCATGCATATTTGCGCTATCCATCATGAGTGCATCTTAAGATGACCCTCTTTCGCCTACATCAGAAGTGGGATAAAGTTCCTGTTATCACCCACATATAATCATCAAATAGTGTGTGTGGAAGGCGTGGGATGTTGTGCCTTTCGCTCTTTTATAGAAAGTAAACTCTTGTGAGCTTTTGTTAGCTCTTTTATGCTGTCGACGTGAGACGCTGCAGGTGGACTTTTTACCGCTACTGCCAACCGACATTTGATGTGTGAGGTAAGTAAACTAAATATGTAAATTAAATATTGCTTTAAATATTTTGTAGTAACAAGTGGTTAATTTTTTAATTGGTTAAGAGAAATGCTTGAAAGGCAAGCTTATTTCAATCAACTAAGCTGAGTCTATTTGGGTAATTTATGACACTATTAAATTGTAGAGTTGCTTACTTTATTTTACTTTGTGTTTTGACTATGTAAACAGCCATACTGAAACTGTAGCTCAAAGAAAGAGTGCTGTGCGCATGTAGTGTCGGCAGAGTAAGTAAGTTTAGTTGTCGTTGAAGAGTCACGGGGATCACTGAACTGAATAGATATGAGTTCTCGTAAAAATAAGATGAAGTGTAGTATATATTTTTTTCGTAGGGATCGAATAAAAAAGTTATGGCTCGTGTACATTTTATTTTGTGATAATATGTAGTTTCCTTTGAATTGACCTAGTTAAAGCAGAATTAAGTATTGAAGAAGTTGCCGGAGGCATTCATACTCTTACTCGCTTGTTGTAACTATTTGGTCGCATTACACGCATCGGTGCGTGATTGTAACTGGAATTTATTTGTGAGATATTCAGAAGCAATGAACATCTGATGATGTGGCAGAAAGACTTTATCTCTTAGAGAATACTGTTGAGAATACGGTTGACTTGGAACGACCTGATAGTCGTTGTCCCTACAGTAGATCGTATCACAAGAAGTGATGAAGAAGGGTAACAGTTTGTTGCTAGACATTGTGGCATTACGATCAATGTGTGTAATCAAATAGATAACATAAGTGATTTCACTGTATCTTGGCACACTATAAATAAAGATTTTTTCAGGAAAACTTGGCGAGAAGAGTGACCAAAAGATTTGTTGCTCGGTAATTATTATTATACAAAGTATGTTTTGTACAGTATCCTTAACCGACGAGCATGTATTCGTAGGTATATATGAACGTAAACGTAAAGGAGGTGTTTTATCACGGGCATTACGAATACCGCAAATGTCACCAGTGAGTAAAAAATTCAACGCAACTTTTTCATTTTAATCCAGACAATCCAAACATGGATATAGGGGGATGGTGTCATGGACGTAACCAGTTTTTAGATCAAGAAAATAAAACGACTAAAAGTGTATGAAATTACCGTAATATTCATATTGTAACCCCCCCCCCCCCCCTCCACTTAATAAATATATTATATAATTAATTACAATTAAAATTTTATTTGTAATTAATCTCCCCTTTTTTAAATAAAATTATATATATGTGAACAGGATAAATAAAATATGTTTTGATCTTTCTAAAGGTTTAATAATAGGCCGTTTGTAATATTTTTAGCGTGATTGTCTTAGTTGGGACCGCTTATTTACTTTGTATTTGTTTACTAACTTAGTTATTTTAGGTGTCTTTTGGAAGAATGAATATTCAATAGAGCAATTGAAAGCTGTTGGTACTGCCTTATAAGCTAAGTGAACCCCATTCACGAAGAGACGACTCGAGAAAGGTTAAGAACATAAAACGTCCCTATTCGACTTGTTGGTTTACATTATTTATTTATTATTAATTATCCCTTTCCACTTGGAAAAGGCTCACAATATGTACATAAGCAAAAATACGCGATACAAGGGTTTCGCTCTCCCACATTTAAAAAAAAATGTGGGTGAGGCACACGGCATGCGCGGTGAACGCCAACCATTTTGATGTACGCTACGTATGAAGGGAACGCTAATTCGGGAACTGCAACGTAGTCCACAGCAAAATAACTGGCGAACCAGTAAAAGAGGGCTTCGCCCCTTGGTAGTGCGTAAGCACAAACATCGACCGAAGTCGCGCATGTCAATGCGTGTAAACGCCATACAGAATACGAACGTATCCAGCCACAGTTAATGTACGTCACACGGTTTAGGCAAATAGGCACACTGGCCGTAAACCCTCCGTGAGCGCCACCACCTGCCAGACCGCCGCTCCTGCAGACGTGATGTAAGTGTATGGCATCACCACCAATTGCATAATCAGCACGGCTACTATCCGCAGAGCGTGTCATGATTCTACCGCTCACCTCAAGGAAATAGGGCCCCACGTTGTGCAGCTTTCGGCCGCAGCCTTGAGTCTCCTCAGATCCTCCCTCCAGCTACCACCCGCATGAGGTCGACACATATGCTCCACCAACCAATACAACGGCAGATATAGCCAAAAGGCAGTTATAGGATGTTAGTAATAATTTGCCATCAGAAGGAGTCTGTGTCACTGACGTTGAGTAAATGCATTTTCGATCATGTTTGTCTCACCCACCAACAAGTTGCCTTCAATCATTCAAAGGTGGGAAAGTTACAGAGATATATTATTATGCTGTTTTATAAAACATCATGGAGGTCAGACAGTCTGCAGCCCCATAATGAAGGGACCCGACTTGGGCAAAGAGAGAGCCATTCAGAATAGCATCCCACCAAACAACCATCGCAGAGACGCAATGCTGCAGAACGCAACAAGCATCAATACGACTATCGTCGGGCTTACACCAACTCAAGGTCCACCATACATCCCAGCAGACATCACCACCCGCATACCTCCGTCGACCAGAACCACAAGAATACGTCGAATCAGGCGCAGCACGCCCGCAGATCCATCACAAGACGCAATACCGCAAGTAGCAGTAAGCATCAATGCAACTATCATACGGATGGCGCTCCCTCACAACACACCCACATGATCCCTATCGACTTTAGTAACAAAATTTGTATAGTTGTTAACTAAAAAATAACACCAACGTATCATAGTAGCACGCTACTAAGACGCTAGTGAACAAAACTCCACGTATCATAGTTCTAATTCACTGAGACATGAGATTGAGTATGCTTGTTACACTTAAAATTGCTACCGAACACACTCATCCCGATCCGAAAGATAGACGACGCATCGCTATGCGCTATAACGCCGCCCACAAACGGTATGGGTGTGGGGGAAAGCCGTATTGGTACAACTAACCCGCTTACCAACGGCACTAAAACGATATTTCTAGGACACATCGTATAGCGAGTCCAATTTTACCTCGGACCAATTGCCGTGAAGCAGCATACACGCCACTATAAGAATCCTTTTCAGGTCCCTAATATAGGACAAGTCATTTTGCTACAGTACTAAGAGCAGTCGGTCACCCGACCACCCCATATAATGCTTATGCATCAAGGAGACCTTCTATAATAATGCTTTTGTATCATAGACCTTACTATTATATGCGGTTAATATATAGGACTTTAACCCACAATTCTACTATTGTAATGCTAATTCATCATAGAGACCTTCTATAGTATTGCTTTTGTATCATAGACCTTACTATTATATGTCTTTAATATATGGAACTTCAACCCATAACTCTAGTATCATAATGCTTATGCATCATGGATACCTATAATAATGCTTTAGTATAATAGAGCTTCCTATCATAAGTCCCTAATAGGACTAGTCATTGTGCTACAGTACTTCAAGCAGTCGGGCACCCGACCATCTCATACATATGTACGACCTTGGGTATGCGTCTACGACAGCTCCTCCATACAAGCCATCTATACATGAACACCCTACATAACTTATGAAAATTTTCTTTTATACGAGGGCGGCACTGAAAATTTCGGGAATCAAGGATGTGACACAACATTACTATTTAAAAATGTATTTATTGCTTTTCGAAGTATTCTCCGCGAAATTTGACACATTTTTCCATACGATGGAACCAATCATTGAAGCAACCATTCCATTCGGAAGTTGGGGTCTCCAAAATGGCCGTTTTGTAGGCTACCACAGCTTCTTCAGGTGATGAAAATCTCTGTCCATGCAATTTATTCTTTATTTTAGGGAAAGTATAGAAATCATTAAGGCTTAGGTCGGGGCTGTACGGCGGATGGTCTAATAATTCTATGTTTTCTTGCTCTAAAAACTCTTTTATTCTGTGTACGGTGTGAGAACTCGCATTGTCATAATGGAGGATGATGCGGCGGTTGCAGTTCTCTTTACGGAGTTCAGAAACGACCTGTGGCAAACAAATGCTAGCATACCATTCTGCATTAACCGTTCTTTGTCTCTCAAGAGGAAGAGTCGTAACATGGCCGGTTTCGGAGACAAACGTGGCCATCATTTTTTTTGCAACACTTCGTCAACGAACAATTGTTGTTGGCTTTAACTCATTTTCGAACACCCAAACTCGTGACTGGTTTTTTGTTTCGGGTTCGTACGCGTATATCCAGGATTCGTCACCTGATACGATGTTGTATACAGCATTTGAGGATCCTGTGTGGAATCTTTCGAGAGTTCAGACGCACCAAGTAACTCGAGCCGCTTTTTGCTCTTCACAGCGCGAATGCGGTATCCATCGGGAAAACAACTTTTTTACACCTAATTGTTCATGCAAGATTATTTGTATTTGACTCATGCCAATGTCTAAAGTTGCCTGAATTTCGCGGTATGTCACATGTCGATCTTGCTAATGATGCACAATCTTGATAATGATGGGCCGTCACAATATGAAAAACCTAAAGATGTGAACAAACAGAAGGTTAATTAAAACACAGACGCATTACAGAATTAATCTTCGGTTTTTCTTTTTAAATATATCCACATCTTCATTCGCATCAATTTCTATACTATAGGGAATATTCATGAGAGCCAAGCCGTTCAGTCCGTTTTCACTCGTTGTGTGTCCGCAAGTAGTTTTTTAGTTAGTAGTTAGGCTTAAAAAAGTCCTTTCTGGGGTAACAGTGGAAACAGGTACGAAAGCCACAATATTTGTAACAATGTGTATATATTTGGATACTGTTTTAGATTGCACTTATCTAAGCATTCCTAAGCAAATTTTGGAGTAGTGGAGGTGATAGACAAAGTTGCTTTCCACACTTCTGGTTCTGCTTTGACGACAGATGTATTTCTTTCAGGCGGCGTACATACAAATTGCCTCTTCAATTTCAGAACTGGTTGCAAAATTTGAAGGTAACAGACCAGATAATGCCGATACTACTTTACGCGATTGCGTGGTGGCTGATAAATTGAGTGGTGATTACATTAATTGTAACCAGATAGTCCGTACGTGACTGGACCCCACTGCGTTGAAATATTTCATTGTTTATTAAAAAAAATTATATTCCATACATTTTGACTGCGTAGTCCATTGCACTTTTATAAAACACAGCAGATTTAAAAAAAATTAATGACAGTACATTTTAATGTAGAAGGGTCCATAATCATGAACTGAATATCTGGTTTAAAAGAATGTCAATTGTTCTGTTTCACATTGTATAATGGATACAAATAGTGATGTAAAGAATGTGTTCGAGTGTGGTCTTAAGATTAATAAACAATCATACTAATACAATCAAGAAACATATAAATACTAATAATTTTATTGTTTGTTTATAGCCTGCGATTCAATCACATATATCTGGCATTTTAATTGAAAATGATCGAAATCAAACTAATTCTCAATCAATATCTGGATGTGGTGCTCCTATTATGGTAATTTTTCCCTAATTAAAACAGCAGGCCTACTATTTCATGGTCTGTACCGTCGGCTTAACCTGTGAGATTACATCCTTCAATTTATCCTTTGATACATACGTGTCATAGCTCCCGTGTCGTCTAGCCGCGCTCTTTACTTGCTCCTCGTACTCCTCATCCTGGGGTGCGCGGGTGGTTAGAGCGCGGTGCAAGTCAGTACCCCTTCAATTACCCGCGATACATGCGTGTCACTTTGCTACACAAATTAACGACGAGTGTTCGTTCGAGATCATAATACTAATAAATTTTCTGTTCAACAGTGTTGTGTTTGTTTACAAATTGACTTTATATCATGGTAAGTTAATCACATATTCGTAAGTGCTTGTAATATTTATGTTCATTTTTATTCTAGTTTTTATGTTTTTAATATTGTATGTGTCCTACATACAGACTATACAATGTTTTATATGATTTTAGTAATCATAAAATTGTTTGACGTACTCCTCTCGTTCGAGAATTAAGTTATGTCATATATTCAGTTCATAATCTGCGTGCTACATACCCAGATTTTTACGATCTGATCTTTTAATTGGATATAACCTTGCAACCCGTAACTATTTAAGGCTCAAACATCTGGACCGTCATCATCATCATCATTACAGTCCTTCACAAGTCCACTGCTGAACATAGGCCTCCCCCAAGTAATGCCACAAAGCACGGTCCTGGGCCTACTGCATCCATCGACTTCCTGCATATCTTACCAGGTCGTCACTTCATCAACGGTGGGGGGTTGCCCTACACAACGCCTACCGGTACGAGGCTGCTACTCGAGAACCTTGCTTCCCCATCGGTTATCGGTTCTTCGAGCTATATGGCCCATTGCCACTTCAGCTTACTAATCCGTTGCGCTATGTCGGTCACTCTGGTTTTACTGCGGATATCCTCATTTCTGAGTCTATCACGCAGAGAAACTCCGAGCATAGCCCTCTCCATAGCTCGCTGAGCGACTTTGAGCGTCCTCATACGGCCAGCAGTGAAGGACCACGTCTCAGATCCCTAAGTCATCACTGGCAACACGCACTGGTTGTACAATCTAGTTTTCAGAGATTGAGGTATACCTGACGAGAAGATGTGTCGTAATTTCCCGTGTAGTGGCGGTTAAGAATATCCACTACCCCATATCTTCCCGTGGGTGTCGTAAAAGGCGACAGAGGGAAACAGGCAGGAGATGAGCAGCAGCATCTTCCTGATAACAGCAACTGTACAACAAAAAAACTGCGGTTGCCAACTCGCTCGCCAAGCGTGGCAACTATGGCAGTATACGCCCCCCATCTGGGCCGTGCTGGTCAAAATTATGAACCGTATGGTTCAGAATTACGAGCTGTACGGGTCAATCTAGTGGACCGTACGCGCCGATTTCACGAGCCGTACGGGTTAAACTCAGGGGTCGCACGGGTCAATTATGTGAGCCTTGTGGGCCAAAATTGCGGGCCGTAAGGATCAAACCTTTAAGCCAATCAATAGTTAATGAATTATATGGCCAATTTTTATTTTTATCACGAAGGATCAAGTTAACGGAATAATATTCTGAAGTATCATTGTTTACTTGTTTTAGGCGGCATCCTCTGCGGACATGCACACGCTCGAGTCTCTGCTCGGCTGGGAAGCAAATAACCCCGAGGACAATATTAGCTTAAAGAGGATAATAAAACTAGTCAATGGTCATCTACCATTGGGTTGGAAATAATGGAAAATTAGAGTTGATAATTAAGACTTATTGGGAAACGAATTTGATCCCCAAATTCTTAACAAAATTAGATTTGCCATTCCCACTGTTGGACTCGCCAGAGCTTTTTCTCCTGAGTGCACATCGCTAAAGGAGAAAACTTATAAAGATATAAAATTAAAACTTTAATTAAATTAAATTAAAATTTGCAATGGCCACTGTGTGCCATCATCATATCATACATCCAATGTCTCTGGCTGCAAGAGTACGGAGTTCAGCAGTCCAAATGAACAGATAATAGTCTCCATCTCTGACATGAGACTACTCCTCAAAAGCAGAGAGGATACAAATAGGGAAATGGCAGCGCAATCCGCCATTCTGATGATGAAATATCAGTTCCTTCTACAAGAACTTCATCTAGTAGGTCCATAAAGCCAAGTCGACTGGACAAATTAGAGCAAAGACAGCGTAAATTGGAAAATATGCTGGAACAAAAAGAGTTTTCAACAAGAAGATCACTCATATTCGGGCTCGGAAAAGGTCTCAACTTCCCCAGAGTTGTCAGAAGATTAAGAAAATGCCCCTCAGCTTTCAGCATTATCGCCAAAGCCTTGGGAACCTCCAACATCTTTAGTAGATGAAGACTTCGACTGGAGTCCTACCACAAGACAACAAAAACCACAAGAAAACATTGCCACACAGGGTACTGAGTGTCAACGTTTAGGCGATATAACATTTAGTCAGATTTTTTATACTAAGGTTCAGAAGAAATTGTATGCTAGCCCGGTCTTCGGTCCTTTAAAGGTCAACCCTATCGTTACGACCTATGGAACCCCTTCCAATCAAGATCACTTGGTTCGAATGGACCACACTCTGGGCACAATTTCCCATGGTCTTCTGCTTCAACGGGAGGCGCTAACTAACACGCTGAAAGATCTAGCCACCAAACACCCAGCTATGAAACAAGACTTGAAAAACATCTTATCGACAGATCATCCGAAAGAGATTTGAAAGGTTCAAATCTCTTTCGGATGATCTGCTCCAGTATGTGTGCGGGAGAAGAGCAGAGAATATCGAACAAAGAAGGAATGGGCTCCTTCCATAAGAAGAAATCAAACAACTCTTGTTAGTGCAATTCCCCCGTCAACAAACCATCTTTTCTACGAAACACGGCTAGCAGAGCTACTGAAACAGCCACCTCACCAGACCTTTTTTCGCATCCCCTATAAAAAAAACCTTGCAACCTAAAAACTGCAATACAACACCATCCGCACGTCCAACTAGACCAAATTATAATCTCAAAAACGTCGAAATCATTCAACCCACCGCGAAATTCAAATACCGGTAAAACGTACGAAACCTTCAAGCGTCCGTTTGGCACCAGAAATAAAGATCAAAGCTAACCCTCTCATCGTGGCAATTCGTCTAAGAACCATACCTCAAAAAGACATAGAAATGAATAACATTTTCAGCGGGAGACGACCTTTGCAATTTGTAGAGGTCTAGAAGAGAGAAGGCGTGCCATTAAGCATCTTACAGTTAATAAAAGGTTACACTATCCTTTTCTTCAGAAAGCCCCCGCTAATGCCTTTTCACCCGGAGATACTTACAAAATTCAAAACTAAAAAATTACATTAGAGATTCGGACCCTAATACAGCAAAAGGTTATAGAAAATTCCTCTTCTCAGACAGGTTTCTTGTCAACAATGTTTCCAGTTCCAAAACCCAACGACAAAGTACAACCAATAATCAATCTGAAAGGCCTAAACAGATAACTTACCCCGAAGAAGTTCCGGTTGTTAAACCACTTCAAAGTACCTCACTTCTTACAAGAGGAAATTTTCTCACGAAAATCGACATTTCTCAGGCATACTTTCATATCCCAATAACCATTCGTCACCGAAAATTCCTGTCAATAGTTCACAAAAACAAGGTTTTACAGTTTACAAGCCTCCCGTTCGGTCTATCAACGGCACCTCTAACCTTTGCAAGAGTGTCAAATTGGATAGCATCACGATTAAGACAGATGAATATAAGAGTTACTGTGTACCTTGATGACTTCTTGCTTGCCAACCAAGATCCTGTGAAACTGTAAAACGACGCCAACATGACGGTACAATTTCTTATCAAACTAGGTTGAATAATCAATATGAACAAATCTCTACAGAGCTCATCAAAGCGAATCGAGTACCCAGGAATAGAATGGAACACAATCCGCAATACAAAAGCACTCCCGGAAAAGAAAATATCTTCCCCAAGAAAAGATCTCTACAAGATTCTAACAAGTCAAAGATGAAGTTGCGGTCTGCAAAAAGCCTGCTAGGAAAACTAAACTTTGTCTCCTTTGTAATAATACCCTTGAGAAGACTTCACTCCAGGGAAATACAAAGAGCAGCCAACATTTTGCCAGAAGGATTAGCCCGGAAGAAGTTTCTCATTCCAAGAAAAGCATTCCAAAAATGCCAGTGGTGGATTCAAAATCTTGAGGAGAAAAACACTTTTCAGATCCTCCAAAACCATTTTCATTACATCAGATGCGCAGACAAAGGATGAGGAGCGCAGATAACAAGAAGCACATCAGCGGTATCTGGAATATTTGCATATAATAGCAAATTGAATTCGCTAATACCATCATGTACCAAACAACCAAGGTTGTATGGGTTACCGAAGATACACAAACCAAACGCTCCACTACGTCCTATAGTGAGCCAGATCGATTCACCAACTTATAAGCTGGCACAACACTTGGCAAAAATACTGTCACCACTGAGAGGACATACCAGAGCACACACAAAGGATTCATACCATTTTGTTAGTGAGATAAAAGACCTACATCTCGCTGACAATTAAACTATGGTCAGTTTTGATGTTCAGTCACTATTCACATGTCTACCTATTGAAGACTGCATCTCAATTGTAACTAGGAAGCTAGAAGACAACAACATGCCTGCTGAATATGCAGTATTACTCAAACATTGCCTCACATCTGGCTATCTATTGTGGAAGGAAGAGTTCTATAAGCAAGCAGATGGTGTGGCAATGGGCTCACCTGTATCTCCCATAGTCGCCGACATATTTATGGAGGACTTCGAAGAGAAAGCCCTTTTTACTGCTCCTGTAAATCCAAGATTCTACAAGCGGTACGTAGACGACACCTTCACAATTTTACCATCTGACAAAGTAACTGCATTTCTAAACAACCTTAACTCTATAAACTCTAAAATACAATTCACAATGGAGTTAGAGGCAAATAATTCTTTAGCTTTCCTAGATGTTTTAGTCATTCGAAATCCTGATAACACTATTGGTCACACTGTGTATAGAAAAAAGACCCATACCAACCGATATTTAAATGGTGAATCTCACCATCATCCTTCACAGTTAGCTACCGTGGGTAAATCTTTGTTTCAGAGAGCACGAGGGATCTGTGACAGAAAATATCTGGCCGCCGAGCTGCAGCATGTCAAGCAAGTGTTGCAAGACAACAAGCTTCGGATCCCGCGCCTACGTCACAGTGACCGAGTGAAGCCGGCCACAGTCGAACGTGTGCCTGCTGTACTACCATATGTCAGAGGAGTCACAGACAAGGTTGGCTACATCTTGAAGCGAGCTTCCATTAAAACATACTACAAGCCGCCGAAGAAGATTAGTTAATTTTTACCATCTGTCAAGTGTAATATCCCTCTACAAGATGCAGGAGTGTACAAGTTAGATTGTGAATGTGGTCTCTCTTACATAGGTCAAACAAAAAGATCCATAAAAACCCGCGTGAAAGAACATATAGCTGACGTGAAGCACCGACGCTCCGGGAAGTCTGCAGTCTGTGAACAAGTTCAAGATCGTCCCCACCATTACATCAGATTTGATAAACCACAAATCCTCGCAAAAGAACACCGATTCCTACCAAGGATGATACGCGAGGCTATTGAAATTAAAAAAACATCCTAATTTCAATAGAGAAGATGGTTGGGTGCTGCCATCTGCTTGGGATCCTATAATTAACAAAATTAAACCCAAACCCAAGCATACCACTGCAAGACTCAAGATACTGTAAGTTCGTTTTGCGTAAATCGGACCAAAAATTAATATTCAAAAACTGAAAGTAGCCAGGCTAACAATGGCATTGGGACGTCAAACATCTTAGTCCCCCCCCCCCCGTGACCATGGTTGCTGTAAAGCACTCGAAACGTCGGGAATTAAAAATAAGTAAAATCAGATAAATAAACGCGATATAATCCGTAAATTTAGTTTTATTCAATGTGTAGTGTTCGCGTAAATTTAAGAAATCATTATGTAATAGCATATATAAAGAATCAAGGTGGAACAAGATCGCCACAACTGACAGAGCTTGTCTCTCAGTTACTGATAATGGCCAAGAGGTTACATGCGGAAATCTGTCCACAATATATACCGGGGATATACAACAACGTATTCCTTCCAAAGATGATTCTAATGACTTAAGTTTTGTCAATACTAGCTTTACTACTGTATGATAATTTTTGTTTAATTATTATTACTTGTCTAGTGGATTATTTGGTTGATTTCTGTATTTTGCTAAATAAACACTTTGTTTTTCTTTATGTTTTTCTGTTTATTTGAAAATACAAGCATTTACTGGTATTTTATCTTCTTATTCACATTTGAAACATAACACTTAATAAATATTTTTCACAGTACGGTATCCCCGTCAGAATCCAAAGATTTCTCACAGGTCAAGCTGCCGGCACAGACCATGAAATAGCAAACGTTTTTCCCCCAAAAGGATGAAAACGATATATTTCATGTCTTGTCCAGATAAGTCTTGACGACTATAATATCAAGGTACTGACGAGCACCGCGCTCTAACCACCCGCGCACCCCAGGATGAGGAGTACGGGGAGCAAGTAAAGAGCGAGACTAGACGGTACGGGAAGCTATGACACGTATGTATCACAGGATAAATTGAAGGATGTAATCCCACAGGTCAAGCATAAGCAAGACAAGAAATATATCGTTTTCATCCCTTTGAGGGAAAAACGTTT